CTCCGAGGACCGGGTGCACCGATGGGGGTCGATACACTTTTGTCCTACGTCAAGGAGCTCTGTCGCTTTTCAGTTTATAATCACTTGCGACATATAAGGACTTGGTTTCTTGTAGAAATTTTCGACGCTCTCTCTTTTGAGTGTAGGTGTTTGGGGTGTCCTACATAAGTGCATGGATTTCACGGCGGAGAAGAAATAACAATTTCGGTTACCCTAATCTCCTCACCCCGCTGGCTAAACAATGACTTGACTGTGATCGAATGCATGACAGCCTACACACCTTGGGTACTCTAAGATGTTGGGCTGTCCTTTCGCCTAACACACGAATGTAGAGCGCCAGTTTATCGAGCAGTATCTAACGTAGTGTCCACTACATATATTTAGGTGACTACTGGCTGAATGCTTTAGCGAGCAGCGATCATGTTTTGTATGTGGTGTCAAAGTACTTTGCGGTCCATTTATTGTGCTAGTTTGCTTATTTTCTGCATGACACGAGCGTTGCAAGTGGAACCTACCCTAATTCTATCTATTATTAGGCGACACATAAAAAGTCTATATTGAATTTTGTATTGCATGTCGGAATATAGCCAGTTCGATAGAGTTTATTGAATGGAGTTAGAAAGTGATGAACCACGTTTTTCTCAAGTAGGTCAGCTTCAGCGGATGGTAACCGAAGTTACGTCAATGTCTTTTGCTGCAGTGTTCAGAAATTGGAGTCCGTCTAAGAAGTCTGACGATGATAATCTAGACGGTCCTTGAAAGTGAAGTGGTCCCCATCCCGGAAGTAAATCAGGAAAAAGGGAGGTGGATGAACCACAAATGTATAGCTATTGGACAGAATAATTTGGCACAGATTAGAGTTTGGAGTTTGATAACATGTGAAGGTGAACAAAACAGCCTTTATATTAGAATGAAAATCTGGATTCTCAAACAGGCGAGTACATGCCCAGTTTAGTTCCGAAGTACAAACGAGCCAGGCGATGCTCTGCCATGAGTAACCTACGAAGACAGAGAAAAACGAAGATTTATTAATCGGCCACAGGAAAGTGCGTATAAAAACAAACTGGAATCAAATAACATGGTATTCGTCAAGCATCACAAATTGAGATTTCAGCAACATGGGTTGAAGGTTTCTGGTGACCAATCTAAGAAATTCCATGTGTGAAAAGCCAGAACGTTCTACGGGATACCTGTATGATACCTTGACATCATCGACAGCATGACATAACACCGATGCTCCTATGCCGTACAACTATGATTTATTTGAAAGCCTTATAGTGAAGAAAAGAATAAATGTGCACAGAGAAGGGATTTAGTGCTACCTTAAAACAAGCATTCCGAGATGCCCACATACCGACACACATTCAGACAATCTGGATAGAAACTGACAACACGAACGCCACTGACATCGATCAGCAGCCATATATTGAGGCGTCTTCAACCAATGGAATCTCACGGTCCCCATCCTAGAAGGCGAGTCGCACCAACAGCAACCGAGCGTTTCATAATCTCTTTCACGCCCTTCTGCCAGGTCAAGGGTTGGCCATCTCTCCGATTCCGCCACTTTGAACTGGGCAAGGAAAAAATAGTACCCTCTTTGGTAAACGATGGTTTGAAAGCTTTTGGTGCTGGACACATTATTCAACGGAAGTACGCGTTGCGCAACCGAAAACTCACGTTATGGATTCTCCGACACCAACCCACACGAGCTATGGTTCTGAGACAACGATAGTCGAACAGCTGAAGACGTTTCAGTTCCGCCGCTCCAACAGGCCAATTCTCACATCCATACAACAAAACAGCCCGTACTGTAGCCTGATACACACGTCCCTTGAGATTCAGAGATTCATCACTTTGAAGTCGTGTCTCAAATCAGCAAAAGCGACCCGAGATCTGCAGAGCCGTGCATTGACCTCATCTGTCACACTGCAGTCAGAACTAATACAACTTCCAAGATACGTAAAACGCTCCACAACTTCCACGATCTCTTCCCGGATTGTAAGTGGCGCATTCAGTGACTGCACGTCCACGAGCATGACTTTACACTTTATGGGTGCAAAGTGCATACCAAAGGACAGGATGACTCTGGTGAGTTCATCCAAAAACACCTGCGGCTTCTCCTCTTTGAAGACGAGAACGATGTAGTCTGCATATCCTAGATCGACAAGGTCGTTGTCACAGGCTATTTGAACACCAGGGTTTTGGAAACCATCTAGCGTTCGTCTCATGATTTCATCGATCACGAAGTTAAACAGGAATGGAGAGAGCGGGCATCCCCGACAGACACCACTTTATGTACGGAGGGTTTTGGAGAGCTCGTCGTATACTATCACCCATCTGATAATACAAAGGGCTTATTATGTTCACGAAATACGTGAGCATTCTTCAGTGGGCAAGCGTGTCAAGAAGTACAGATCGGTTGACCGAGTCCAATGCGCCTTAGATTTCCAGGAACACTAGAACTGTGGGTAGCTTATACGTATGGTGTTGTTCTAGCACCTGACGAAGTGTGAAGATTTGGTCAACGCAACCCCTACCAGGCCGGAATTCCGCTTGCTGCTCTCGAGTCAGTGGTTCATGAGCCACCATAAGGTGAGGATGCACAAGTGACGCCAGCAGTCTCGCTGGGACCGGGGTCAAGCTGATCTTCCCGAGGCCACCGCACTGACTACGAGCCTCCTTTTTGAAAATGGGCACTCCCACCGACTCTCTCCAGTTGTCTGGGACAGACGCCTTTCCCCAAATGCAAGCAGACAGATCTAACAAGCGCTGACTGAGGACTTCACCCCATTTTTTAACAATATGGCCTGGAGTTCATCCGGACCAGAAGCTCGGTGGCGCTTGAGAGAACACATCCAGTCATACCCATGACTAAGGGAGACCAGCAGATTATGAACTGAAAATTTCGGATGATTCAAGCCTCCTATTGTCACGCTGAATGATGCAACATGTGCACTTGTACCCATAAGAGTAACCTCCTCACGATCACTCTCTACTATTTAATTCCCTTTTGCATTGTTATGTTCAGGATACACTGAGTAATTGAACTTATCTGGCTTTGCCACTTAAGTGTGACCGTAGATACTCCCATCTTGTACACTGGTGAATGACACGCTTCCCTGCAGTTGTGCGGGTGAACAGTAGGAGGGCATATTCATCTGTTGAGTTCAACCCTCGCATTACAGAATCCGGCACACCAAGATTTCCGACGTTGCTGATCAACAGAAACCTCTTGACTCCAAAGAACACGGTCCAGAGAAACTTCAGCTGAGAACTTTGTTGGTTCATCGGCGTCTTCCGCTGAATGGGCAGAAAACTACCTCTTCAGTGCTTTAGCCGTCTAAGGAAGATTAAGTACGAATATACATAGCGGTGCTCTCACTTGAAGCATACGGTAGGTACCTGACTGTTCAGCACGCGCCCAGTCAAAACATTTGACTGAAATATGCAGTTCACACGCATAACCGGGACGTCTGCGATAAATTTTACTCCCCTCCCGGTCACGTAGCTGTAGAATCTTTACTAGCATGACTTCAGAAATTGAACAGCTTGTTTTACATATAGAAATAAAGCCACGAAATTACAATAGCATGGCTAAGGGAACTGACGAATGAAACAAACTCAGTGTGACCAGGGCGATTCCACCTCACTAGTTATCTAAGAGGTGACAAGCTACGGCGCTAGCGGGATTGCCAAGATGGGGTATCTAAAGCATTCCCATAGGTATTTGTTTAGGCTTTCGTGCCTTAATCTGTCCAAATTTCGCTAACTTAAAGTGTATGGAGATGAAATAATGACAACCCTAGCAGCTGACCTCGTCGGGTATCCTATCAATTTTGATGCAATTCAAGTTTACAAGATGCAGTGGGCAGTAATTGGATTTAGGACTGTCCACACTTGAAGCGGACATTTTGCAGAAATACCTGCGGGAGCTCAGAGACAGGTGGAATTTATGATCAGGTAACCAAGTGTCGAATAGTATAGGAGCAACAGAAAGCTTTGGACCTGACAACAAGTCAGAACGAAATTTACAAGGATTAGGAATAAGCTTATCAACAGTTTGAACTCTATCACGTTTTGCATGGAAAAATGTAGATTTCATCTCTTTTACGTATGCCCGGGTGAGTGTCCGTCTTGACAACGCCAACTTTCGTGTTTGTTCTCCGACGCATTATGTTCTCATTACAGTGACTTTGGATATAGACAAAAAACAAGACTACTGATCAGAACTCATTTATACTTGGCGTGCACAGTATATCACCCGTGAAAACCGCCAGAATTTACCGCTTGTAGGAAGTGGCGATGCATACGCAGAGGATGCGGGTACATAAATTCTGCTTGCGGAGTTGCATTATAGTGATTTCGGTCGAATGGAGCAGATGGAGTATTTACCAAGGAGTATTTACTGGGTATTTTTGATAATTGAATATAGGGTTCCAGAGTAAGAATCTACAGGGTAATGTATGAATCATACACATCCTACAGTTGGCGATCTTATAAAATTGTTCACAAAACACTGCAGCATGATATAGAGATGACTACCTTGAGATGCGATTCGATACGCACGAGACACTCTTTTGAAATCACGAAAAAGATTTAGTTTTACCAGGACGGCGAGTGAAAGAGTCAATTTCGGATTTTTTTTTCAGCAGAATTTCTTGAACCAGCTGCAGTATGTGGCTTTCCACATCTTTGTTTGAAAATGGAAATGGGATATTCTCCTCAGTACGAATCGATTAGAGTGGTGATCAGTCGCTCGTGGCTAAACGGCTAAGGATGAAATAGTCGCAGTGCCTTTCGACATAGATTGGCTTCACTTACAGGACGAGTGTTCAAACTAAAAGCGGAAGACCGCGGGTTCGAAACTCCATGGAGTTTATCGAGCTACACGCTGCTGAAAATTCCCAGTAAGGTGAAAGGGTTGTACAGTACTACTCAGCTTTTCAGCATAGACTGGCTCCACTTTAAGGATGAAATCTCAATCAAAAGTAAGGTATCCCACAACCTTAACTTTAACTAGATTAGTTTAAGCTTTGTCCAGAAATGTGGGTTATTAAGGAAGTAGTTCATGACAGCTCCATAATGATTAACGTTTCAAGGATTGTGTAAAGTCACTGTTTTAATGACCCCGCGGAACGCAGCGTATTGATGGCACGAAATTACTTCCTTCAAAGAAGCCCCAATCTGATCGTACTCAGGAATGATTCTGCTTCGATTAGGCCGTATTAGGTCACCGTATTTGTATGTTGTATGAATGATTCAGCATTCACGCCATTGTCCATTCTATGCATACAACTGACTTGCTTGGTATGGCTCTCTGTGATTGAATAGTGCCCTGCAGGGATGCTTAGAAACCAACCCTATCATGAAGTCCCCTACGGACTGATCAAAGACCTATAAACGACGTCGGCCAGTGTTCACGCGAGACTCGAATGTACTTCTCATTTATGATTTTTTTTCAACCGAATATGAAGTACATGACTAGCCTCATATTTCTGTTGACACAATATTCGAGACATCGAAGTATGTTGTCTTGTCACAACAAACTACTCACACGGTTGCTAAAAACCTTTCGACAGCCAACGACCGACTCTGCCCTTCTTCGGGCTCAACAAGTTGGTGTAGTTCCATCAACTTCATGTCCTACTGAGACACGAGACGACTTTTGTGTATCACATGAATATGAAGAATATTATGAACTGGAAGTGAGCTGAGTCTACCGTTTACATCAAAGTAAATTTAAAACGACTGTACTCCACCCGATCCGGCGTTTAAATGGAACACAAATTCATGGGGTTTCTGAGATTACACTCACACGATGGGAACCAAAATTCGAAACCGGTAGTGGCTTTTCCAGGGAATTTTACCAACCTTATACGTAGTGTGTAATGCCAAGATGTCGGAAAATCCTTCGCTTTGATGAATTCATTTAATGACGGGCTTACAGTGGATCGTCCATGTTCTGCGTAATCTTGACAGTGAATTGTGAAAGGTGCCACTGATTCCATGGCCAAGTTCAGGATGACGCTATCGGATGAAGCGCAATTGAAAGCAACTGTGAAGATCACTGTTAGTAGCTAGGGCCTACACTGTCTATGGGGCTCCGTCGATAGGAACAAAGATACGGCGCCGCTAGTGGATGGTAGCATCATGGAATTTGTTAGAGCCGACTAATCCCCACACAGTAGATACTCTCCGTGAAACCAAAGATAATTACTTGAGTTAACATTGATATGTGAAATAAAAAAATTAAGAAAACTGCTAGCACTAGTGTTAATACAAACACATTTCGAATGGCGTTCTAAAATGAAAGAGAGAATCAGTTATGTTTCATCGGCTAGGTTTTGGTTGGTCCTCATGCGCTTGATATCAATACTGAGCCTTCATCAATTCGAGTAGGGCAGCATATCAGTTACCGATGAAAAATCATACACTAGACAAGTGGTGGTGGGAAGCACATACCGCCGTTCTTTCCAGGCAACTAGTTCGTTCAACACCATTAGAAGCGGACACCAACTGAGCCCAGCAAAGAACACGCCGAGGGATAAATAGTCTCGCGGACGAATAGATGACAGATCAGCCCAAAAGCAAATGCGAAGGGTTAGGTAGATCGAATGCAGCAAGAGGCTGAACAAAAGTGGAGGGGGCAGAGAGAATCACCACATACAGAAATGACAATACAATTGCGGCAGATGAACACACTTCAGAAAGAATGCAGAGATTAGATTGGGAAAAAAGATATGAACTTAGTTAGTGGTGCAGAGTTTGAAGATATGTAGACAGTGAAATCAAGTACTACTGGTCGGCTGGGAGTATTAGACGAATTCATCATCATCATCATTGTCAGCTGTAATAACCGCGTACTCGTCGTACTGTGGTTGTAGCTGCCGCAGTTTCGTTCACGGATAGTTTGGGGGGGGGAGGATTAGAATAGCAAAATGGGTCCCCAAACATCACGATTTAAGTTACCAATGGTACGTAAGACAAATATGAAACACTATAAACACAAGCTTAGTGTTAAACAGCACACAACTATACTACTACAGTACCGGTGATACTACTGATCGGGAGGCACGCGAGTAGTATGTGTTGTTCGTAGAATTTCGCTTTGCGTCGATTGGAAAATAGAATTCTGTTGCGGAATTCGCGGGGCCACTTTGTAACATTTGCTTTTATTTGACCGACGAATGATTGGAGGCAATGAATCCCCAGGAAGACTCGTTCGGGAGAAGATCTGTGTCCAGTTTTTGTAACTAAGATGCAGATTAGAGTTTTTCTTCCTTGTTCAATGGTCTGTAACCGGTCAGTTGGCATTTCCGAATAAATAACTCCGCAGCAAAGGCCTTCTTCCTTTCACTACTACTATACTTAATCCTTTTCCCTCCCAATTATCCCAAGTGTACACTGCACTAAGGATTCGAGGTCAGACCAGAAGGAACTGGGATGGGGCTCCGCTCAACTCATATTCAAAGTGAAGCTGAGATAACAGGTAAGGTAGCTAAAACAGCGCGACGATGACAGCTAAATTAATGGCAAATACACATGAAAGACAGCTAAACAGCCTAACCAAAGCCACACAGCACAACTTCTTGGTCGTGAGCGACATTTATGATCGGGATTAGTTTGCTGACGGTCGGCTTAACGGTACTCATTAATCAATTCAGTACTGTCAAACAGGGGATAGTTAGCGGCACAAAATTCTCGGCTACTCCATATATCCCAAGCTATCAACGAGAACAGGGGTCGGGATGTACAAAGGATTGAGGAAGCCCATATCGTACCATAAAATTCAACGAGAATTACTAGAAAAATGTACGAGTACCACCTAAAGACAGCTTTGTAATGGGAGTAATACAAGCGGAAACTGCGAAATGGGCACATGATGTATAAGGGCGCTGATTTTTTCTGAAATCAGCTCACTCCATTTTTGCTCGTTTTGGTCGTGTCCATGGGAGTATGTGGCTTGACTCTGACCAACCTACAAGTGTACGATACTTGTATAGACGGGACAGGTCAACCTTCGGCGTGGATGAAAACACACACGAAAAAGATACAAGCATTGCAGCGTTGGTGCCTTGACCCATAAAGACAGTCGTACCACCGTGATGTAAACTCAGTCACTATTGTGCACTCTTACCAAAGAGGTAGCCTCACCGACCTTGTGGGCGTGTACTTTCCTCGTTCCTCTCCCCTCAAGGAAATAAAAGCCAAACGACTGAGGGAGAAACACTTTATGGCTTTTCAAATTGGCACTTTACTCCCCAAACCCGTATGCGATCTATCCAGAATTATTAGTTGGCTACTTATTTATTTGATTTGATGAGCATAACCGACGCACTAGTCTACCATAAAAGTGGACTATTTTTGACTAGTATCAATTTGGTTTTCACGAGAGACTCAACTGAAACTCTCGTTTATGATATTCTACAACTGAATGTGCTGCACACAGGCCGCCCCAAGAAGGGCGAAACCGGTCGTGGGCTGTCGAAGAGCTTTCAGCAACCTTGTGAGTAGTTTCCTTTATGAAAATATACTGCGATATCTCGAATAGCGTGCCAATTGAATCATGAAGCGGCCTGTGTGCAGCACATTCAGTTGTAGAGATTCAGTTGGGTCTCTCATGAAAACCGAATTGATTTGCAAATGAGTGTATTTCTCGAAAACAGTCCAATTTGGGTTCAAGTAGAACATAAGGTTGACGGGAACTCGGGGACTGCGCCTACCTGATGAGCCCCAAGAAGGGCGAAACCGGTTGTGGGCCGTCGAAGCGTTCTCAGCAACTCTGTGAGTAGTTTCCTCTATGAAAATACTTTTGACTAGGTTTAACTTGGCTGCTAATTTAGCCTTGGAAACTGTTATATCTTCTGATTCGCCAATCGGTGGTATCTGCTGCTGACTCGCCCCAGTGCCTAGTGCCGGAAAAAAGACTCACAGAAGGGGACGCAACAGCTATATTCCGAACGAGCGTGTGAGTGCGTGCGTGCGGGAGCAAAAATTGCAACGGCCCTACGTTATTTAGAGGGAATTTTCTGACATTGTTCCAGGCTGTCTGATAGTGAACACCCATCAACATCGATGGTACCTCTATGAAATGCCTGAACGCTGATCACATTCGATCGTGCATCTGCGGCGTGCATAAACACTCATAAGTTTTTGCTGAATTGATTGAATGATTAACTGACCTGGATGCTTGCCGGCTTTCCTACTGAGATTTTGGTATGGTTTTAGGATCTCAGTAGGTTCCGGGCGTTCTGGGGTTACTTTTAGGAATCTGAGCTTCCTGAGAGAAACTTACACAATGGCGCTGGACTACCGATTGAAGGATATGCGGTTGAGGGATAAGATCCAACAACGCAGGTTAATTCACTATTTCTGGAGTTTCCAGTGGTCAACGCAGTCTCCCTTGTTATAAGGTACTTCTCTCCAGTGCGACTTCGAAAGAGCCAAACCAATTCGGTTGCATTCGAGATTTGGTGGCACGATGGAGAAATCACATTTCATAACAATCACGGGCGTTCAATATATGCGTGGACACAAGTTTTATGAAAAAATTGCCGATATACATAATAGGGCAACAAAAAGATGGCTTTGAACCCAGTGAAATGGAATACATGAGCAAGTTTTGTACAATGTTTATAAAAATGAAATGTGTGGATTGCACATTAGGTCAGTAACTATTCACGACCCATCTGTAATGTGGCATCTTGAAAAATAAACGGGACCAAAGAACACGTACAGCTGCTACAGGGTTCACTGCTATCGTAAGCGCTGAATGCGGGCGCAGAAAACTCCAGTAGTTACAATTTGAGGCAAAATGATTCCATAGGTGTTAGTTGTTAACTTCCGGTAGAAGAAACATTAGTTGGTTGCTTTGTTGATTTTATGGTAAAAATCTTTGGAAATGTTACGCCGATATTTTTTGGGAGTTCAAGTAACTCAGTATATTGTTTCTTTTTGGAGGTTTGTTATAAGTTGCTTGTTGTTCCTTGCTTGTTGTTCCTCCAACTAACTCCGTTTAATTTGTCTAACACATCCGTGCTCACTAGATCACGCGACACCTTTGTCCCACAAACGAACAAATCACGTGACAAAACCCTGTCCCGCTCGCAACCTAGACCAACAGGCCGTCTTGCACGCGTCGGAACGATTCTATGCATTATACACATATCAAACCTTGCTACATGTATAAAGACAACACAGTCATCACACACATACGCGCGCTCAGGGGGCAGGACGTTAACCAAATTCCACAAGTGCATGGACAATGACGGAACGTGTGGCAGTTATACTGCGGAGAAAACACGTTCCCCTGTCCGGACATTCACAGAGGAACTCTCACAAACAATAAGTTCCCTTTTACGGCAGTGAAGCATCGGTGTTGAACACTGATGTCATGCTGTCGATGATGGATGATGATGATCCCTTTTAACATGCTCCACATTTTGCATTCCATTTATTTTATACACGGCGCAACTCATCACTGTAAACCAATTTGTAAAAAACTGTCGTTGGTGAATATATCTTGAGTTATATTATAGCTACCATGACGTGTGCATTAATAGGCTTATCCCTTTACCACGAAGCCGCTATATTTATCCAGTGTTCCAGGCTTGCCATCAATGTTGACACTGTAAGTTAAGTTATAATCAACAAAGGAGCATGTCTACGGACCATTTTCACCTGAAGCAAATTCGTTCATAACAACCCTATGCTCCATTTGATCGTGATCTCTCGCAGGGATGAATAGTAATGAGCGCAAAGTATGAAAATATGCACCGAAAAGAAAATTCCCCGTAGATCAGCTGATATATCTAACCAATATTTCACATGTCATTTGTAAATTCCTTAGTCATCTGAAAAATGCAGTCAGTCAGAAACGATCTATTGTACTACAATGATAGAGAATTTTAGTCCACAGTAACTTCGTAAGTAATAAAGGTAGGGTTACAGGATACCTGCAAAGGCGAATAGAAAGAGCCTTATTGGGTTGAAACAGGATGAAATAACAAAACGTTAATGAACCAAGGTTTATCGCTACATATTACAGCAACCACGGGTGCTTTTTCAAGGATGGAACTACAAACTTACGGAAAGAGAAGCCAAACCGGCATCACAAAGGAGTTATTCAGTGGGCAAAGGGGATACGTGAGTAGCTTGGTAACTTGGCATCACGCGTCTGGCCGATTTGATTAGGGATAATACGACAGACACGGACAAACCGTCGTTTCGGCTAACTCACGCGTGTTGAGTGTGAATTACCAGATTCCGCATATTCATGCATGCATACATGTTCCTGTTTGCACGGGTTAAGCGCGATCAATAAAGGCTGCGTGATTCTCTGTCACACCGTATAGACCAATGATTGAAACTCCTCCCAGATGAAAAAACGCCAAGTCTTTCGGCAGTACGTAACCTCAGTTGCCCAACAGTCTTATCCGTGTAATTAGCACGTAGCCATTTGGACCCCCAGGAAAATTCAGTTCCTCTGAATAGACCAGATGCATTTTATTGCAGTTTTCTTTGAAGAAACAGTACGGATGCTGAAGTCTGATCACGCCACACGAGTTCGTTCGGAGATCTGCTGGCGAAAATGGATCTGCATGGTTGATAAAAACGTCATTGCGAAGGGTTGTTGCCTTCTCCACGAAGGCTACCGGGTGCGGCATCTCTCTTTGTTCGTTCCGTTTACGGATGACTACACAACAATTCGCTTGATGATCGCTGGACGATATGAAAAACACCCTAAGTACTGTCTGGAAGGAGTTGGCCTTCAATGCACGAAGCAGTCCGTTGAGAAGTTAGTATCAGGTCATTTTTCAAAACGTAGTGCAAAACTGGCACACCTGCGTACAGTGAATATACAGTAAAACTGGAAAAAGCTTCATTGCCATGCGTTTAGACACATGACATCGTAATAATTCTTACAGTTGCTTACCAAGTTATTCTAAGGGGGCTTAATAATTCGTTCCTGAAGTTCACCTATATTGGCAGAGAAGTCAAGTAACAAACATCGGCATAGTAACGTTGCCTAGTTTCTTCATACTTCAACCAATTTGAAGATGGGACTTACATTAAGAAGGCGCTCACACACCAAGACGGATTAGAGGACCAACGGAATTTAAAAATATGCTGACCGTAATTGGCGAAGACGAAAGATGTTGCAACTGAAAACAAGATGAGGGTCAAACGGAAAGGGAAACATTGGATTAATTGAAACATGAAAACGACACCAGAGGACACTGCTTTAGTTCAACCCCCTACAATTTTCGTGGTGAAAAGAACAAAATGAGATAGAAAGTGACCTGGTGATATGCTATCACAAATAACCCAATAAATTGTTTCATTGTGAATTCACTGGTGTCGGCGTAAACTAGCTACAGTTCCGATGGATCGATGGTTAAATACCTAGAAACACTGGAGACCCAAGCCCACAAAAGAGACTCATCGTAATTGGGGTAGCCTGATGCATGCTGTCTGCACACACAGGAGATTGGTAATTGATCAGAACTCAACAACTGGAGATCTCTCTAGTTTTAGCGACTCAATGACGTCATTCGGGAAGGGCGATGCTCGACATCCAGCTCTGCTTGGTACGCAAAACAAAGCAACGGTGAGACGTCATCCGACAAAATGTGGACCCCAAATGGCTCACATCTTACTCATGGGACGAAAATCCACAACTACACTTCAGAAGGTAACAACAGGATATTAAGAATTAGGTTACCTGGAACTGACGTTTGGTTCAGGGTGAAAGTTTTGTGGAATCCAGTTTATTTTGCATCTCGCGGGAAGATGATGGAGAAACAAAACTGTGATACTAAACAGAATTTTGGAGCGCAGGTCAAATGGATGGTTGTTGGTTTGCGGAGCTGGGCCAAAGAATGACACTGGCATGCATGCGACCAGAGATGCACCAATTACAGTGATCCTAAAAGCATCAAAAATGCTTCCATCTTGATAGTATTACCTATTATGGGTGGGAGGGTTGTATGTAACTATTTTCCAGAAAAGAATTCACGTCTGATAACAAGCGAGACAAAATGCATTCTATTGTGTCGTTACTTTCATAAACTAGGAACGAGTAGGTTAAAAGATTGTAGCGAAATACACTCATTAACATACCCGTTTGGTTTTGACGAGAGGCCAACCTGGAGCTCAGCTGAATCTCTCGTTCAAGATATTTTAACCTGTCACCGTCACGAACAAAAGTGAAGTAGTTTCTTCCTTTGTTGACCATCTATATTCAAGTCAAACCATGCGCAGCTTAACGCAGTCATGTGGCTGCTGTTTAGAAACAGAATCCGGTTTGAAGAGATAATACTTCATGCGTGCCGAACTCCCGGTGCATTGCTGGAAATCCGTTTGAACAGGGCGAAGCAATATCTTTTCGACTAAGTATTTCGGTGGTTGATAGTTACGCAACTACACGTGACTGTGCTCCACAAGCTTAAAGCACCTAACAGCTTCCTGTTTGCGTCCCCTCGTGATGCGAAATCAACAGCAGACTCCGAATGAGGAAATTACAACATACAGCAGTAAGTGGGTGGGCGGACAGAAGCCACACGGAAACAGAAGTGACTCATAACGGCTTGGACCTAGTCAGGTAAAAAACGCTTGGATTTATGTTTTCAGTGGTTGGCCACGCGCGCTTATTGCATGAACAGTTTGGAAGTTTGTAGACATGCGTCAGATATCCTATGAAAAACGTCATAAACAGCTTTCTCCACAGTACATCTCACGGAAGTAAAACTGATGGACGGAGGACGTGACAACCCTATCTAACTCGCTGAAGAGAGTATTGCCATCATATCTCAAATAAGACGAGAGGCTGATGCAATGTTGACCGGTGAAAGGAAGAAGGCTTTTATTGCGGAGTTATTTATTAGAAAACACCAACTGAACATTAACAGACTATTGGACAGAGAAGCAAAACTCTCATATGCATCTTGTTTATAAAAACTGAGTATCTGTCTTTTAGAACGCGTCTTCCTGAACTTTCCTGGGTACTCACTGACTACCACTCAAATGTAAACGAATGTTACCAGGCAATTCCACGAATTCCGCAATAAATGCCACTTTTCAAAGACAGGAAGTGGCTTTACGAGAAAACCACGTGCTACTCGCAGGCCTCATCAGTAGTATCCGCCGTTACACCGTTACACCTGTAGAATTTCGGATTATTTGCGGACAGGCAATCAAGCCAAGCGGGTGTCAGAAAACAGAACGTGCTTCATATTTTATGGCTAAATGACGGATGAGGCTTATCGAATGATGTGTTTGGAGCTATGTCCAACTTTCCATTCAGGTGAAACATCAAGTCAACTTCAGTTTCTCAAACAAAAGGGGGGCTGGTAGTTCGTAAACTGACGGAACATCGATCGGCCTATAAACAATAATAAAACCGGATACTTGTGTCATTCTTTGTGAGTCCGTCTTAAATAATCAGTGCTATCCATCTTGCGATGGATCCATTATTATACTGTAAATAAAATTTGCAGGAAGTCAAGTCTATCTGTTGATCTAACAGTTAGCAGTTTGCTCAAAACCTGTATAGGGTGCAGTAATAATGATGACCATGTTAATAGTCTCCTCAGTAGTTTTAAAAGAGGAAGTACACTTTAACGGTAACTGATGGTTGTCTAGTTTTATCTGGCTGCCATGTGATCCTTAAAGATTTTCAGTCGGATATCGTCAGTGAATTCGCACTATGTATGACGGCCGGAAGGTAATTCTTGATAGGTTATTGCTTGTCGAAGGGAGTCCCATTGTAAATAATTCTCAAGCACTAAAAGCGCTCTTTTTTCTTAGAAGCAGTATTTGGTCAAATGTTTCTCATCTCAGCTATACTGTTGTCTACAAAGACGCCCGGGACGAATGGTGTACCGGCCAACCAAGATATACAGTCAGCAGTTGCATGCTTTTAATAGCGTTCCTTCTGCATCCTAGCGTCCAATCAAACTTGGCGCCCTTTCTTCATCTTGCGTCTCAAGGCACTATTGTGCATACCCCTTTACCTTACCTGATCGTTGCTTCCCTCAACACAGTCGACCTCCATCAACGGCTGTCTGTTGTCCTTGAGCGAGTACAAAAATTCAAGCCCCCACCCATCCAAGGCAGTCCAACGGTTGGTTGTGTTTTTCTGCTGCATCACAACATTTTTATTGAGCTTTCTGCCGCAACTGACCCAGCTGAATTAAGCATGGCTTAAACCACAAACCTTTCCTAGATATGTTTTACACTAAATGTATCTGTCCTTCGGGTTTCGTTTTCGCGTCCCCCCCCCCCCCCGTACTATATAAAACAAGAACCTTGAACGCGCACATACTATGGCAGGATACTTAGTGTTTTAGCAGTAATCCCTCTAAAAACGTAGGTTTTCGCGTCCCCCCCCCGCGTACTATATAAAACAAGAACCTTGAACGCGCACATACTATGGCAGGATACTTAGTGTTTTAGCAGTAATCCCTCTAAAAACGTAGTCAACTGTCTAACAGAACGCGCGGATAACCTCAGAAGATGGGTTTATCCCAATAAGACTTCACCAGAAAGGTGTCGTTCAACCACTGATATGTAAATATAGGTTGTATATTCGAACAAACTGTAAACGCATTCCTGGCAGTGTATTTTGTTTAACCACGTTTATCAGAGGCCTGTTCTGACGTGGTCATCCCGATGAATACATCAGTTCAAATTACAGCTACTATGGTATACCGCAGCTGACACATTTCTTGCTTCAATCTATCGTTACAACTCAGGTTGCCGTACACGCATACTAGTCGTTTGAGACTGCACGCACGAAGGACTACAGTAATTTGGGTTGGAGTGATCGATCGACACCAACAGAGGAACCACTTCTGTATTTGAAGGACAGTAATTTGAAGGTGTGCATTGCTTGGGTTGATAAGATTGCAGCGAAGAGATCTAGAAAATTAACTTATCCGATATAAGCACTTTATGAACATGTTGGTAAGATTCTTATGCATATCAGTGTTGAGTGTCCTTTGTGCAATGCGTTGAAGAAAAGCGCACCGATTGCAGTTGGTTGATCTTATGAATGCTGCGGATACCAGAAGAACGAGTGTTACTCGAGGAGACAAAAAGCATAAAATTCATATGATCGCAACCTGCTTAGCGATGCAGCTTGCATAATGCACAAGCACACATGAACAGTCTAGTTGGTACAACATAGGCACTCACCCAAACAGAGGATAAGCTGGAAGAAGACTACGTCTTTCACCAAGGCAGTGAGCACAGAGAGCTGAATAACACATTGTGGAACACTAGAGTGACAGAAATGAGAGGGGGGAATAATTGTATGCTAATCACTGGTGAGTTAAGGAGGATAAACAATACAGTAGAGGTGCACTTATACCAACAGCCGGGGATGAGTGAATGAGCGATTAGGAGTCAGAGCACTGCGTACATCTCATACGAATGCGACAAATAACTTTAACAGTAACGTGACGAGTGAGAAGCGTTTGGTAGCCCAGAAGTACGATAAAATGGAGAATAAATCTGATTATATTTGGGAGCTAAAAAACAGGAAAATTCAAACACACTCTTACCAAGGCTTGAATCTGATATACACTTACGAGAACAATGTTGATATTTTCACGTGGTTATCAAGATGATATACACATCAACGGTGCACGAGTTTCCTCACAACTAATATGAGAAACTTATGAAATGTGCACGCCTGGACCATGAGAAGTTTGAGCCAACTGAAGTGTCTATGATTGCCTAAAAGATAACGGTTTCGTCTAACATATGTGGAGTTTTTATATGAGGGGAAACACCTTTCTATTAACGATGAATACGATTTCCTTCGAAACCATGGGGGTGAGTTTTTAAGTCGAGTGACTGGACGAAGAAAACTAACAAGTGATAAAAGAAGGAGGAACTCAACGTCACGTCGTGCCTCATATATAAGCGTAAGCGTAGAACCGGGCACACAACGAATCACACTCTAGAATTCCTTTTTCTTTCCCAATGGTTTATTATCGTCCCTTGTCGCTGGCCCTTATTTAGGTCGTTTACTGCTATCAAAATCGTTGTCAAACTTGTAGCTTACGCATTGGCGTTTTCCCTGCTAAGGTTACTGGCCAAATGGAATATATATGATCTCACTAGACAAGCTTATCACCCAATATCTGTCATATGAATTGGTCCGAGTGTGAAGTTGGACTTAGCGACAACCGTGGATCCCAAGCAATGTCCTCAAGAGGTTGCTCAGTAAAGTGAAGAACATAAGTTGAACAACGGGAAGCGAAAATTGATTAGCTAAGGTTAAGCTACTTGAATATCTTTGGTAGTTTGGACAAGGCTAGCGGTTTCATAAATGTAGAGTGCACGAACGAATGAGAAGACATTGGCTTGAACAGAACAACATTAGGCATGTTTTCTGTTACGTTCGCCCGGCTAGTGTGGAAATACAGTGTAACACACCGAAAAAAAACATCTCAGTTTGGCCCAAATGGACAAAAAAACATTCAGCACTACTGTTGATAAAGACATTCAACATGCAATTAGTGTAACGGGCTCCCAGGCTCAAATCAAAACCTAGGGTAAAGCCAAATGAACTCACCTGGCAAGGGACAAGTTTGAAAGTGGAACATCTGTTTCGCTTGGTTGAGTCCAATTGTCTGAGCTTACTGTTATTCGGTTACACGAGTCGAAACTCGGAGCGAACAAGAAATAATTCAGCTCACAAACAGCACAAACCAGAACGGATGGAAGGAAGCGCAGAGCAGTGATTACCACAGTCCGAATGCACTTCTACAGAGCAGGCAACCAAACGGATAACAGGGTAGCAAAGACAGTGAACACACCAAAAAAAAACATCTCAGTTTGGCCCGAATGGACAAAAAAACATTCAGCACTACTGTTGATAAAGACATTCAACATGCAATTAGTGTAACGGGCTCCCAGGCTCAAATCAAAACCTAGGGTAAAGCCAAATGAACTCACCTGGCAAGGGACAAGTTTGAAAGTGGAACATCTGTTTCGCTTGGTTGAGTCCAATTGTCTGAGCTTACTGTTATTCGGTTACACGAGTCGAAACTCGGAGCGAACAAGAAATAATTCAGCTCACAAACAGCACAAACCAGAACGGATGGAAGGAAGCGCAGAGCAGTGATTACCACAGTCCGAATGCACTTCTACAGAGCAGGCAACCAAACGGATAACAGGGTAGCTAGTGAAAGTGCTACAAAGAAATGCGACCGAGTGGCAATCAAAAATAATCATACAGGCTGTAACTGCGGTTGTGATCAGTTATGAAAGAAACAACCCACCGCACATTTTGTGGAACTCATGGGGTGGATGTAGTGAACAGCCACTTAAATTCGAATAACGAACGGTTTGATAAAACAACATGTCACTTGGACTGGTTTCGATTGTGAAAGCTGCGAAAACCCTTAAAAAATGAGCGCGCAACATGAACTAACATGTGAACGTGAAGTGGTCAAGAATCGCACAGACGTTCAGGTATGCTGTAAAACCAGTGTGGTCGAAAGCTCACTTCAGTTCACGGGCCAAGTAAGGCTACGTTTGAAAGCACAAGCACTGAATACAAGCACCAGACAACCGATCTTGGGATACGAGTGGTTTAAGTTATAGTAAGATTGCTTAATAATCGCTTAATAATCATCGTGGACTTTATGAATCTTTCACTACCATGGGAAAGCTATGAGCGATTTTCCGATTACCCACAATCAATAACGAGTTTGACGAATGGGCGAGAACAAACCCGACCACCTAAGGGTAATGAAAGTTTGTCCAAATCGGACAGTAAGCAGATAATGGAATCAAACAGCGCCGTACTGGAAGAGCTAACGGGTTAACCTAAGTTCTGATAGGTCTCAGATACAGCAAAACTGTGACGATTGATCTCATAGGCGACGACCCCATTATTCCAAAAGAGAGAGATACGGCTTATCCAACACCGTGAATTAGACTGCTTGGGTGATGTGCTTAGGCCAACGTGGAATTTCTTAGCTGTTACATTTCTTGGTGCTAGGTTTTGGAAGGACGGTAATTTTTTGCGGGTCCTCACAATAGCAAAAAATGAAATAGCATAACACTGTTCTAAGCCATTTTGGCCACTGAATAGAAGATAGGTCAAATTTAATGTTATTCAGTCCAATCCAGACTGACTCCATGCTAGACACATGATTATCCGTTTTTCATGTCTTTATGAATGTGCCTATGTGCTTCTGTATGCTTCATCTGCAGTTTATCCTAAAAGGCGTTCTCGGACTATGGCTTCTCCCTTTCTCCGTGACCTACCGAGTGAGTGATAGGGAAATAAAAGGTCTTTTCATAAAGAAGCGCCGTACAAGGTCGAGTCTGATCATTTTACTCAGGTGCTCATCATTTTGATGCTTTACTGTATTGTTCAGCAGTATATATGGTGCAAACAGATTTCCACAACAAAGAGTCGAAAGAGTTTGTTGTAGAAGAGGGTCTAATGTACATATGTTTAATAAAATCAAGTCATATGGCTGACGGTTTTCAGAAGATAACGGAGTTGATTTCTGTGTATGATTTAGCGCCTTTAATCACAAAGAAGAATCCCGCCGTCTCGGTCGGATAAAACTGGATCATCAACTGAAGTTGATGAAACAATTGGACTATTCTAAGTCTGAATAATCTCATTAGAAATACACCGTCACATCGAGTATGGTATCAGATCCGAACACGTTCCACCCAACAGTGAGAACTGATTTGTTGTGTTGGCCGCAACAGCAATAGTAGTAAGATCCTAGGTTGAAAATAAAAAATCAAGCTATCAACCTTTAGATTGACTGGTTTGCCGCGCTTAGTTGGTGGTTCTCGAAGTGGACGAGTTCGTTCAATTTGGCGATCAAGTAAGGACAAGCTGAGTGCTGGTACGACGAACAAAATAAGCCAAAGCAACTGCCCCGCGGTGTATCCAGATTGAGCCAACTCGTGATTGAGGCGAACAGCTTTTTCTACGTTCACCAATGAGTGGTGTTGTAATTCCCTGTCTGAAATCGGAAGGAGATGCATTCGAATTCGCTGAGAGGGAAGCCATAACACTGTGATCCGATCGGGAGTAGATGCAGAGTAGCTGGAATGTGCGACGAAGGATGACGGGGTGATGAGAGGCAGAGATGGAAGTCCGACTAGAAGCAAGAGCCACTGAAGCAATGCAGCTGACAATGGAGCTAACACGGAGAATGTGAGCAAGAGATACAGGTTATTGACACTCGCGCGAACCTAAAGGAGGTAGAAATGGAGGGAAGTCCGCTAAGGTTGTAAAAAAAAACAGGGAAAGCGGAAAGGATATCGAGGTGTCGACAGAAACCGTGTTGTTTATTATTATTGTTACGGTGTGAAGAAAGCGAACATGAGACGCTCACATGGTTTTGCCAACGGACATTTTAGGAGACATTCAGGGCATACCAGTGGATGAATGCAAAATAGCGGCCTGAACTATGAAGGATTTTTTGCAGGCCTGTTGTAGACCTAACTAACACTCTCACCAGGAAAGACCGACTTATTGTGAGAAATTAGTGAATTCGTGTAGGCCTAGCATTACCGCTTGATGTCTCATGATGGATGAGTTCTGGAGAGTATTCACCTGACATGCTCCACGAGGGGAGTGGGGTAATTAAGCAGGTAACGGGCGTCGGAAGCCAAAAAAACTGGTCTGTACGACAAGAGAAACACTGAACCAAATTAACTTCAGTGTGCGCCAGAAACAATTTTACGAGATACGCGATGATCTGATTCAAGTTTAATGGGAGCTAGTCTACAAGATACTGACCTTTGGAAAGATTTGAGCTCCCAACAAACAAGCTAAAGAGTGAGAAACTGTACCCGAAAATGTGGTTGGGTGAATGGAGGGCCGACAAACAAAGTATGTACGAAGGTTGCCTTTATTGATTATCTGTTTGATGAAATCCTAACGGAAGGTGTGCATAACTCCATGAAACTGCTTACTCCGATCATACTAGTATGGTGTTTAGTTCGACTTGTCATCATGGCCCTTTTCAAAATGGCCAACTAACAAGAGAAGGAAAGCTAGACAAGATAAGGAACTGACCTCGTGAACCAAAGGATAGATTCGAAAACCATGTGTTTGCATGTCTAGAACCCAGGGGAAGAGCAAGCTCACGATGCGGGAACTCAGTTCTACGGAGTCGATCGGCGTGATGCATTCGCGTAATTGCGATTCTTGGGTTTCCAAGGCAATTGTTTCAGGGTCAACGGGATGAGATCGGTGAGAAAATCGTTTGTACCATTTCCGCGGTCGACGTCGGAATGATGGTTCCAAGCAAAGCGGCTACGAACGGAATAATTGGAGGGGAAAATAAAAGAAAACTAGCAGTAAGATTGCGATCGATGCGGCGCAGAGATAGCTGTAAAATCCGGTGTAAGAAAACAAAACAGCGTAGTACCTGGACATTCCACAGTACAATAATGTTGGGGAGAACAAGGAATAAAAATATGCTGGGACTGAAAAGCTCTGGAGAGGAAAGTATCTTCAAAACAGTAAAATTTCCATCAGTTCCGATTTATTGGGGAGATGGAGCTTGTTTCATAACTGAAGAACAAGTGCGCCACTTTCGACCACAGTTGGCTTGTGAATGTGAGCATGCACAAAAAAAATTGCCTCTCAAGAGAATTTTATTGACTCCGCCTAGTCACAACGGCTCTCCGTTCTCCAACAAATCGTTTCACTAACGGTACATGTACCAAAGCTTACTGTCGTCGACCAGGATTCTGAACAAAATGCATGTCCGAGTACATGATCAGACTGCTTTATATTACTCTCTAGTCGCTATGATATGCTCTAAGTACATCAGCTTTCCCAGTATGAGTTTTCTGATCCCCTAAACCTACAAGCAGCATGCCTTACTGAGTTGTTAGTTTTGCGCTACCAATCGAGGAAAAACAAGGAGTTCCTTTTAATTTCACCTAAGTCACACAGAGAGAAGTTAACAATGGTTTAACAATAGTTTGCAAGCGGAGTAAACATGTCCACGTCAATGGAGTATGCTGCTCATGGACTGCCCTATAGGCCCCCAAATGGGCGGAACCGATAATGGAATCTCGGACAGTGCTTACCGACCATATATGCGACATCCTGGACACGAGCCCAGCTGGACCATGGGGCGAATTTTGAACGACACATCCGGTAGAAAAAAAGCATAAACGCAAGATTCATTAGGACCATTTCGATCGCCAGATGTCAGTGTTAAACTTCACATATGTCTAATTTGGTGTTCAAGTATGTCTATTCAAAGTGTGAAAGTGGCGGGGGGCTGTCAAACAGTCTTCACCAACCTCATAAGCCGTGCGATGCCACGTCTGTTGTTTTGTTTTCATACAAGGCATACAGCATGCTGAAAAACTCGTTTCTAGAAGGACACTGACCTGTTGCGCCGAAGGACGCAATCGATGTCACAACCCAGAAAGCATTGTCTATGGTTCTGTTCTGCCACAAAAATACTGTTTTGTCTTAGTGCGACTGAATAGCTGACGTATGTATAGTGTTGTTGGGACATGCAGCCAAATTCGGTCACTAAAGTCGTGTTCGTGGTGAAAGTTTTCTCTGGTGCTAAGGTGCTATTTGAAAGTGATTGTCCTGTCTTTTCCCTAGAGACAATTGAAAGATATCTTTCGAGGTCAAAATAGAACGGCAACATTTAACGACCTCGATAATCAACATGCGCAGACCCGGGGTGACAAAACCATAACTAACTTACCGATGAGACAGGCGGCGGCTCGTCTGACGGGTTGCCTTTAAAGATAGTACAAGGCTGCGGTAGTATGGGGAGCATGAGAATTGCAACGTCTCCGCGAGCCAAAGGCTGGATATTATCGATGGATAAGCAGCTCCCAACAGTGCAAACAATCTCGCCGTACTCTTGCAGTATGGTTATCATTTGATAAGTAGCTTTAGGGGTTATGGAATAACGCGAGCAAAGTGTTAGATGAGAGGAAAAGATGAAGAAATATTTAGGCATAACCGAGGTCTCTTCATCAGAAATGGTTGGGGGCAAGTGAATAGTTTTGCACCAACTCATTCAGCGAGCTTCCGAAAACATAGTCACTGGTATCTCGAACAAAAACACCGGTTCCCTCGTTAAGAGAACGGGACATTTGGCCTTTACTGCAAAAGTGGGCCCATTCTGATAGTAATTTACATAATCCAACATCAGTAAACCAGATCATGAGACTGCGCGAAAACTGCCCTCAAAAATAATTGTTGGACAGAATATTAGGTGGCCTTCGACTGACTTTTCCTCAATATAAATACAGTGAACTCAAATTGAATATACATTAGTTCAGACAATAGTCCAAGTTGTTGCTTCTCGGTGGCCTGAATAGCGTTATCGTCAGCTTCTGTCTTAGATATGAGTAATCCCGAGGTCGCATTGACGATGTCTTGCAACTATCCAGAATCTGTAGTCTAATTCGACTGGCCGTACAATGACAGAAAACAGGTGTATCCAAAATCGAAGTTGACCTGAAAGTTTACTTCGAACATTTGATCGCTGGCGATCTCGTGACAATAGGGTCTAGCTGATTATCGCGTGTCCGCGGTATGGTAGCAAGGCAGTGGTTGCAAACTACGCAGAATCATTAGAGCAGCACATAAAGCTTATCAAGCTAGGATTGTTGGGTTAAGCGGGCCTGAACACTGTCTACCAGAAATGTTGTTCTTCGTTCCAGACGCTCACTGGACACAGGCCATGACTGAAACGCGGAACAAAGGGTCGGATGCTGTATGATCTTCGTAACTAATTGATCAAGGCAATTTCCCTTGGGAACTCTAAAGGACATGACACGTAACCGATTAGAGCAACCAAGGTATCGTTAGAAATCAGCTAGTAGCACATAAATAATCTACGATAACCAATAATGACGCAACTCATCATCATCATTGTCATAATCGAGAAGCCAGATGAGTGGCATCAGGAAAGAGGGATTCTGTCTGGATATTGTTCTTTGCGGATCGAACAATAGTGAAGGGATACCACTTTTCAACTCTGATTGTGGTTAGCTGGTTTAAGCAGGTTCTGGGGAGTTTTGAAGTCGTCGTTGCGTTCACAAGCGCCCTAAACTTACGTCGTTCGAAACGACCATTCGGACCTTGAGCTCCGTTTTTCTTCTGGATACTGCGGTCTTTTTCGATGTGGAAAATATTACTAGGGTTATCAAATCAGATAATCTTAACGGAGGTAGGAGTGAGACTACCAGAAATAAAAAAATCAGGCCAAATTCGTTCGGGAATACTTGCTGGGGAGTTCCTAGAATGAGGCATGCTTTAGAGCGAAGTTTTTCTCGGCGAAATCAGCTACATTGCCCAGTTAGACGCACAAAGCTGATGAGTCGGGGGCAGTCACTGTGGAAACCCTCATTCCCGTCATAAAAAAGCAATAAAATGCGGTAAACGCACCCAAGAATCTATTCACCATGCAGCCTAGTTAAAACCATCAAGTTTGAGGTCATCGCGTACGTCGACGGGAATTCTATGTAGCAGAAAGGTAGTTAAACGCTAAGATGGCTCATGGGAGTGTTCTCTCAACACTAGAGTATTCAGACAGAACTCAGTGCGAAAGGTATAATAACATGTACTTACTGTCTGGGGTGCAGTCAGTAAAGAGGGAGACCTGCAACGGTACATTGTCTACATGCATCAGGTGTGGGCGGATGTTCTCGATACCGCAAGGAAGCCGAGACTAGCGGAGAAAGAACGGGGAAATGGAATAATTATGCAGAAGCTAACAGAGCATAACACACGGCAGCAACACATTCGGTGTAAGTGGTCGAGGACATCAACTATTCTATTTGATAGGTTCCTAAAACCCTAGCCGTCAGTGGCTAGGCTATTTTTTCTTATATGAGAAAACTGTTAGCTGGTCTAATGGAGATGACCTAATACTGGACACCAATGACAGTCGTGTCAGTCAGGACGTGAGGCTTATACATTGGGCCATCCGAGTTTCCGTAGAGTAATGCATTTCCCAACTAACCACTAATTTGATGCCCTATAAAGCTGTTCGAGAATGTATACCACTTGGCAAGTTTTCCAAAGGTGATAAAGAATGTGCTGTACTGGATGCCAAAAAGTACCAGTCATGCTGTTCGATGAAAACCCACAAGTCCCGAAAGGTTGCAGTGTAGTGTTTATCCAGCTGTCTCGCACCAATAACCCCTTTATACGTATTGCGACAGGTCGATTCTTTTTGAGAACTTGGCCGACCGACCGACCCGAATACTCACAGGCAGTGGAAATGGAAGCAATTCACATTACACTGATGGCCTAACAAACTCCGTCGGACACAGTAGACTTTGATGAGAAAAGGACAATTTTTCCTATTTCGAGATAACAGTTTTTTTGGCTATTTCTAGAATCACTTGATACCGCAAACCGCACATCATTTTTAAGATTCTGAAAGACTTTGATCTTAAACTCGATCCGCAACCGATTGAAACAAACTTGAGTGGCAACGTTTCGTCGACAGAAGAACATACAGTACATATACGTACATCCATACTACTTTATGGCAGGGATTGTACAAATGACTGTCAAATTGGACTTGCATATGTGACAATACCTGAGCTATTAAGCCCTGTCAGTTGTCCGTCTATCAGACCCTTCACGTGTATCATCAGACTGTTCGCCGCGTTATCCACGAGCTCACTGCGCGCGTGCACGGACGTCACGATCAGCACGCAGTGTTATCGGTTAATATGACCATATACCACCCGTTTGCCCGAGTGAAATTTCAACGGTGAGACCAAACAAGTTTTGTGGCGGCAACACACAAGCGTTCACAACAGCGCTCTCTGTTAGTCACTACCTAGGACGAACCCATCCTCGACGACAGGTTACCTCTCTAGGCGTCAAACATCCGCTTTCCATCATATTTTTCCTTTGAGATAGAAACCACATAGTGTAGCTTGCCATACGGGAAGATAAGTAACCTAAACTGCGTCTCCACTGAGTACTTGGGCCGAACAAGAGCAGCACTACATAATACTAGGTCTCCAACACGTCCGAAAAGACAGATTGCTGTTCGACAACACAAGAGCACAGTGAAGAAGCTCAAAAAAGGCAAACGTATCAATTCAGCAACCTAACAAGAACACAACTTCATGGAGTCGATTCCTGAAATGGATCAAAAGAGGACATGCTGAGGTAGGGGGCAACAAACAGAATATTCCGAGCAGGGCATGTTGTTCTGGCCCATTAAAACAACTGAGTTGTCGCAGTTACCTAAAGGGAGAAATCCCATGCTGCAAAGCATGCAGCTCTAGGAATTGAAAAATTTCTTTAGAATCCAAAAACTAACAGGTGTCTAGAGTTACCTCAGTCAAAGTGAAATGAGATCTAGAGATACCTTGTTCTGAGTCAAGTAGTCTGACAATCTCAGTGTATCGTTTCGTTCCGGATTGTGAGTTTCGTCTTCAACACTGGTACTACTGATTGTATCGCTACTGGTGCTGCTTCCGTCGGAATGCAGAGAAACTGTGTTGCGTCTGTTGTTGTTGGTGTTGTTTTGGTTCATATTGGACCCATCAGACCGCATGTGTAAAAGATTGATATCAAGCGGAGAAGAGCCAAATGAGAGGTAACCATCAAATGCCCGTTTAGTACCAACTGTTCTAACGTGTGGTACCACTGTCATAACAGACGGAGAACGTACGAGGGTTCTGAACTTGTTGATCGTGGATGGAAGAGCATGGGGAACGGAACCAGAACGTTCAAGTGCGATCTTCTGATTAGAAATAGTAAAAAACGAATTGATTGAAGTAAAATAAGTAGAGTGACCAGGAATGAAGCACAACGGACCTGCAATTGATTACGCTGGAATACCTAATGAAAACAACACATTAAAGGCCAAACGAATCCTAGTCACTAATCAACCCACAAGAATGAATAATGGCTAGATGCATAGTGTATAGATGTGCAAGGAAATGAACGTTCGGTAGCTGGCCTGTTGGCCGAACTTGGTAGCTGGATTGCAAACGTTTCGCCACAAATCGAGTTGACCTCGCAGAACACGAAAGCATTAAACTGATTGTAGTCACGGTAACCCTCGCTATCGACTAATTAATGGACCAAAAATACGCTGATCTTAGAAGTGCTTATCATTTGTATTCAGAAAATCTGCGCTAAGTTATCTGTACAGGACAATAGACAGAGAATGCAAAAACTACCAAGAACAGATGCACGTCCAACTTTACAAGATAAACAGACGAAGGAAAGAATAAATTGCGTTGATCCGATAGTGGTTCCTACCAGAACAACCACGTCGCCCATCTGTACCGAAATCCACCTCTGAATAAAAGCCTTCCAAAAACTTGCATCGTCATCACCATTAGCAGTAGGAACCACTTACTTGCCACACAGTGGTTACAGCTGTCACAATTTCGTCCACCAATGATTTGGGAAGGTGGGACTAATAGCTGCGCATTAGAAGCTGTAGCTGATATAATTGATGCGTAAATACACGGTTGCTAGTGGACTTTTAAGTGGGGAGACTGGGAGGGTAGCTATGTATTGAAGACAATCGCTTGGATTCACGAGCACCATTGAGGGCGCGACTGGGCTATGTCTAGCAATGTCTCTAAGCATTGATGTGTCCCGTCTTGGGGTCCCCATCTAGGGAGAGGGCAATGACCAGCACAGTTTAGCTTGCTGGTAATGGCTTTCATACATCGCTGCCAAGTAATTGTTTGACATCCCTTGGCTCGTTTCCATCCTTCGCGTGGTTGTACGAAAATAGCCCTTCGAGGAAGTCGGTCGACTGGTGTGCGGAGCACGTGGCCAAGTCAGCACGACCTATGTAATGTGATCCGTTCATCTATCACGGGGAAGTTATTTCTTCCAAAAACTATTCAACGTACTTCAGCATTACTGCTCCGGCGTTCCCACCAGACTTGGATAATGCTCCGAAGATACCGATGGTTAAACATTCGAAGCATTTTGACGCCCTCGACGAACAGCTGCTAGGTTTCTGACCCGTATAAGAATATGCAGCACACCGCGGCATTGTAAACTCGACCCCTGACGGACAAGCTAACGTCACGCCTGCGCCACAGATAAAACGAGTTCACGAAAGCTGCTCTGACCTTCCCAGTGCGAATAGAAATGTCTTTCGAGGGGCCACCGGGAATGATACAGCTGCCCAAGCAGACAAACTTGCTTACTACCTCAACCGGCCCATCCGCAAGCATGAGGTTAGGATTCGAGCCTACCCAGTCTTGCAGTAACAGGTTACATCTTGCAGTAGTGAGGCGCATACCAAGCCGTGTGGGAGAATTATTCATATTATTTAATATTGTTTGCATTATCACGACTTCAGATCCAAGAAGGGCTACGCCTTTTGCATTCTCAATCTTTTGGAAAATGCCCCGGAGCACGTCGATCCCACAGGCATTAGAGGCTGATAATAATACTATCAGTGACGAAGTTGAAGATAAAGGTGAAAGAGGACAGCCTTGTCTGACGCCACTTGATGTGGTGAACTCAGGTGAGAGCGTACAGCGCCTTGAAGAGGGTTATGGAGAAGTCCCCTACTCCAAGGACATTGTAACAGTGCCTGACGGCCCACAGAGTCAAAGACAGCTTTCAAGTCAAGGAAGGCAACTAAAGTTGGCCGCTGGAAGCATGCAACCGTGGAAATGTTCATGACTTTTCTCCTTGGTTAGTCCCAATATTACTGATGCTTTGAGACTGAATGTGGTCAGCGACTCCAAGGCCCGCACACGCAACTTTGTGTACTTGTTAAACTTCGTTATTACTTGATATATTGCAGCCAATATACGGCAATTCCCAAGCTGTCCAACTGGTCACTGCTCTAGTTAGTAATGAAAAACTAGTAAATCACTCGTTTCAAAAAGGTTTAATAAACAATCGATGGATTTGAACCTTGGAAAGTTCGTCCTTAGGCTTTTTCGGCAAACACAACACGAATAATTGAGCGGCCGGAATGCCCACGGGCAAAACATCTGAAATCTGATATTTTGGATGTGTATGGATGAGGTGTATGGATCCACTTCTACACAAGCTTTTTTGAAGTTGATGTAGACAGATGTGGTCAGCGTCACAATAAGGACAAGTTTAGCCACAGCCACTTCCGCAGATGCAGCGGAACTCGGATTGGTCGCTTGAAAACCCAAACGCAACCAACCCAATTGTTCGATAGCCGTAAGCGCTTCGACAGTTGCCCAATCATCATCATCATCATCGACAGCATGACAGTTGCCCAAAGAAAACAACGAAATACATAGTTGTATGTGGATGTGCGGACGACTGGCGAGGGATGGACAGAGTGGCGAACAATACGACCTGTTTTACCTTTCTCCGGTATCTCCCGTCTTTTTGGTTCATAGCGGGCATATTGCTTTTCCCTGATGTGAGTAGTCTATTTTCAGGTAGCACAAGTGGTGGTTGAATGTCCTCAATGAATTTCATCACGAGATCTCAATACACTTAATTCAATCGATCGAACAATGGTCACGATCATACACAGTTTCCAAGTGACAGATTTACAAAAAAACAATGCAGGGCTGCTGTAGTAACATCAATCGCGCATCAACCACTTGTTTTAGCACTTATCTCAGATAAGTTGCACAATATATTAGAACATTCTTTACGGCTTTTACTCTATCGGGGTCACATCTGCAAGGGAATCAAACAGCCATGCGGAAAGTGAAGCGAATGACTAATCAGGGCAATCTGTAGAGTGCAACCGAATGGCCAAATGAGGGTTTACATTGGCCTCCCGTTTAAGGGATATACCTACCGGCCTACTGAACAGAAGACTTTCCACCAGTCTGAACAAAGTTTTCCCGGCCGCAAAACTCCGAACCTGGTTCACCAGCAATCGTTTGTCCCCCTTTAATCTCAAGGATAGAGTGCCTGTCCACACCCAAAATATGTTAGTTTACTCATTCCCTTGCTGCTGTGCAGCGGAATACATCGAACGCACGACTAGGCAACTCGGCCAAAGAATGAAGGAACACAATCCACCCTGGCTAGCTTCTGGAACTAGGAGGACGATAACCAGCTCCGTAGTACAACATTTAGCTGACACTGCACACAACGTGATACCCAGCCAGTTTCCGCGTTGTTTACAAGGCGCCGGCTAACCAACCCAGATCAGTACAGCAGCGCACAATTGCAGTGGCTGAAGCTATCGCCATACGACATCGCGACCCGATCCTTTGTCAGCAAAGACGCTTTGTTCGTGTGTTGTACTTACCATGGTCCAACTCACCTCCCCCCACACATGCATCGTGTGCTGAACACACAACTACAACACCCCCCGAGCTGACTAGCTCAAGTCATCCTATTGGCGACCTGAACTAATGGTTCTTTGATAGGTAGCCAGTGTCATCTCACTCGATTCCCTGTCCATTTACACCATACTCATTCAAATATGTTAAATACCGCTCTCTTAACCGTTGCAATTGTATAACTTGGAAATACCTTGCCGAAAACATGTTCGCCAACCCATCTGTGTTCTTATTATAAATGGGAATTCTCGGAATATCAACTCGATGCATTATCCGAAGCCAGATAAAACTGAGTATCCGTGCAGACCGAGAAGCTTGGTGGATGCGAAAGGCCGAAAAAATGGGAGAGGCAAAAAGTGCTGGAAACGTCCGCAAGCTGATTCACCCGATTCGTTCGAGTGATCTTCCGAAGCCTCTTGTTAGCGAATCTATCAGGGACCAGAAAGGCTCTTTGGACCATCGGGCACTATAGTACAAATACCAATTCAGTTGGCAAACTGCAGCCTCCTATTCAGACTGCTAGCGGTTAACAGAAAGATGGACTGTGAACATGGAAGCCCCTTAGCCTCATAAGTGCCCGAGTGTATGTCTCTACTCAAGCATCACCATGCTGTTGGTCCTAGCGACCTTATATTTGCTCTCTTCAATGATGCCGTTGAGTTTCTCAGCCAGTGCCTGTCTAGCCTATTTCCATCTATTTGGGAGAAGGAGTCCGTTCCGGATAATGCAGTCGAGTCGATAATGGTACCCATTTTCAAAAGAGGTACTCGCATTGGATGTGGTAATCAGAGGATTTAGTTTGACTCCCGTTGAAACAAGGCGGCTGGCGTCACTGATTCTTCGGCGTCTTACGGCGGCACGCAAAACTTTGACCCGTGGGAAACAAGCGAGATTTTGACCGGGTAGATGTTGCATCAACTACATCTTTACATTTCATCAGGTGTTAGAGCAAAGCCATACGCACAAACGGCCCAGTCTTGGTATTCTTTGACTGGAACTTTTGGAATCAATATGACAGAAAACGAAATGGCAAGTCACTTCATAGTTCACCGAACCCTGAACTTGATACCTTAGTGAAAGTACTTCTGATATCTTTGTTGGTTGTAACATTCCTGTTCCTCAGCTTCCTTTATTAACTCCACGACACTCTCCACAGGCCAAGCAAGGCAAACATTCAGTTAGGGATCCTGTCAAAATTAGGTTAGAAAATGAGATAGAGATGAACGAGTTAGAGATTGGAAAATGAAGGTTAGCGTCTCGGCAGATGCTGTTGGATTATGAGTCCTCTGCTAAAGTCGATTGCAGGCGACCATGGATACAGATTTTTATCCAGTCTACAGAATGTCCAGAAGTCTATTGCAAAAGTCAACCGGGAAGAAGCGAAATGCCCACGGCTTTCTACATATCTGTGTAGAAAAGATGCCGCAGTCGGGATTAGAACCGAGGCGCATAAAACGGAAGGTAAACATGCTGACCCCTACACCGCGGCGCTCGCCGGCGACTTGCCGAAAATAGACATAAGTTTGACGGTAATCATACACGATTTTGGGATTGTATGGAAGCCACCCAATTGAGTGAGGCGGATCGACTAATTAACAATAGTAATAAGTTCATGTGTTTTCTCCACTATTGCCTTGGTACTGGTGAAAGTAGCCAAAACACTGTTTACAACGGGACATTTCATCGAAGTTGCTTATGAAACTACACTGCGTAAGACCATAGGCGGACGGCAGCTACTACAGAAAAGTGTGCTGCGACTGAGTGTTCTCGATCGTATCGTACGCAACGTGCATCTCACCAGGAATAAACACCATTGGATGTTTTGGAGTCTGACTTGCACAAGGCTTATCAAAGGAATCGAAAATCAGTTTGAATCGGAGACATGACAGTGCCTGCGAAGGGTCTACCAAGTCAGTTCTCCAGAAGTGTGTGACACTGAAGGGCTGGAGACCGTTGAGGAGTCAGTTTTTCTGTAGAAGTTAACCCGGAAAGTAGTCAGTACCGGAAAAACACCTAAGGTGAACCAAACAAGGTTAGAACTATCCGAAAATTCTGAGGTTCTCTCTCGATTTGGCAGTGGTTCTGAGAGGACGAATAGGACGGCAACGAGTCAGATGATGACATCCACGACTATGGAAATCTGGAATAGGTGAAACTGAAGATGCTGTGAAGGAGGATCTGTTGGTGAAGACGGCGATGAGGAGGATGGGATGGGGATTATGAAGATGAATATGAGAGCGTTGAGTAAGAACAGGGGATAGATGATGCCAGCGGTGAGGAGATAGTGGTGGGAGGGTCACAAGAAAAACTTCATCCAAAACATCCGCTTGGAAGCCAGGAAAGAATATGTCGTGGCTCAGTCTGGAAGTGAAGAAAGAGCTTTTCTCCTCAAGGGGCAGAGGTTACAGTGGCAGAGGTAGTTGTTGCCCCCAATCGTGGAGGTCACGATAGTGATTCCAGGGGTCTAACAGGGAGTCGCTGGTAGCCACATGGGTGTTCTAGACGTTTGGTTGCGTGGCTCCGCCTTTCGACGAAGCCCAGGCCATATGTGGCCGAAATTGAATGTTGAGTGTATTGTCGATGATATACGGAGCCTTGAAATCAAAGAGTATAACGCACTGAATTATTATTTTACAAACCGCTCTCCTACTATTTTTCGGGAACTAGGCTGAAACGAGCCATAGTGGATGATGCGATTCAAATTCTATCTCCGTGCAAAGTCGAGCAAAGAAGCAACGGTTGTACTCACACTTAGTGCTCCTCGGCTTGATGAACTAAGAGCAGCAGAATAATCAATATTGAAATACATGCAACGGCAGGTATATAGTTCCCCCAGCGGAGGATTACATCCCAATGAGACTCAGAATTTGAACTCGGTCAAGTCGTTACGTCAACTTTCTCTAACACCTTTTGAAGGACTGATATGTGTCGAATGAAGGCTGCGAAACAGTGGTTTGTCCCAACCCACCATACATCCCATCATACTTCCTAGTTGACATCCCGTGACACATTGATTGGACACTATCATAAGTCGGAAGGATACATGGGTACGTTATGCGTCAGAAATTTTAAGTGGTAAAAGGGGCAGCCGGAGACTTGTGCGTAGTTGTTTTTCATGCAAGGCAAGGTCAGTGAAGTCAGCAGAACCGTTGATGGCATCCTTACCAGCCTGCAGAGTTGAACCTGGCTACGCCTTTGCGATCATCGGAGAGGATTGTCCGTCCCTTTTTTGTACACGACGGATGGCAGTCGAAGAAGCGATACGGATATATCTTCTCTCGTTTGAAGGCTCGTGCACTTCACATAGAGGTAGCTCATTCTTTATCGATCGACTACTTTCTTATGACACATTTCCCACAGAGATTCACCAAAAGAAATGTACAGTGACCACAGAAGTAACTTCGTTGGAGCCGAACTAGAATTTCGGCAATTTCTTGAGTTGCCAAATTGCAACCCCGTTAACAAGAGGATGGTATCCCAGAGGATCGAGTTGCACTTTAATCCACCCTATAGCAGTCACATCGGAAGGGTATGGGAGTGTCAGATACGATCTATCCGCCGAATGCTGAGTGCGGTCTCGCACGAGCAAGTGTTGGCTGACGAATCTTTGTCTACTTTCCTCACTGACGTGGAGCATATTTCAAATAACCGTTCACTGACGCATGTCTACGATGGTCCAGACTCAATAGACGTGCCGAACTCTAGTCACTTGTTATTGCTGAGAAAGCTTGATTCATCATTTGATGTGACCAATATACGTGACATATGTACCCGATGTTGGGGACAGGGGCAAGTGTTGGCTGATGCCTTTTGGTGTCGACGGTTGAGGGAGTAAATTCTGCTCCTACGGTTACAACACAGGTGGATGTGAAAACGTCGATATTTTTGAGCTGGAGTCTTTGTGTTATTCAGCATCGAAAATCCGAATCTCGGACACCAAGAGAAAGGCATCATAGTGGAGGCCAAGCCCGAATGTGATGGTCCTATATTCATACGGACTCATCCGGCAAGGTTAGGCGTAGTTTAGTCATATCTGCCTTCCGGAAGGGGTAGAAGACAGCTGGCTACTCATTCACCCTACGCGCACGCTCGAGCGACACGTTTGTGGCTAGAGCAATTGTACCATTCTCGGTGATCTAATTTTTGCATGCATGCGGTTAAGCCTGTAGATCAGGGGGCGATGTTGAATTTTTTCTAGACACTTCTTATTGCATGCAACGTAACGTGATCTAATTTTTGCATGCGGTGGATTAAGCCTGTAGATCAGGGGGCGATGTTGAATTTTTTCTAGACACTTCTTATTGCATGCAACGTAACTCAACGTTTTTGTGGTTGTTGTTGGGTGCCTATGCTGTCTTTCTTGTTTTTGACCTGAATGTAAACCGCTGTGTGACCTAGTTATCGCATGCGTTGTCTAAATCAACACATGGGTTTCGCTATCTTGTGGCCATCTTGCTTCGGGTTGGTGTGGACGTTGGGATCCCATCAATAATTAGCAGTTCCCAAACCGGTGTTTGGAAGCTGGTGTATTCCCACTGAGGTTTGAACAATTCTATTATTTTATTACTGTATTCATAATACCACATTTGTTGATAAACCTCTATTTGAACGATTTGACTTTTGGGGATTTGCGCGTACCTCAGCGTGGTCTATAGAACATACCCTTACAATTCAAAGCGAGTCAGTAAGGATTGTGGAGAACTTCGCATACCTCGGTAGTTGTACCTCCGACGTAAAGGCATCTGATAAAGTCAGTGCACGAATCTCAAAGGCTCGATTCACGTGCTCCCCTTTTGGCGTCAAAACGGCATATCACTGGATCTCAATGGTCGTGTGTACGTAGTACGTAGTGTACGCAGTAAGATCTGCGTTGTTTTATGGGTGTGAGGCATGGCCTATGCGGACAGAGGATGTAAAGCACCCTCGGGTTGTGACCACTGATGCCCCATAAGCGCTTCTGGTTTTGGATGACGTCAATGGATAAGTAACGAAGTATTTGGTTGTGTAGCGGGTACCTCAATCGCGGAAAACACCCAGCACAATCAAATACAGTGGCTCGGTCATGTGTTACGCATGCCAAAACATCGTCTACTGAGACGAGTGTTGTTCTTCGTACCTCCTTCCGAATGGCACAACCTCGAGGTAGACAGGGTATGACTTGACCGAAGGGTAGCTGGAGACATTGCAAGAAATGGCGACCGATCGATGTCACTGGCCTTCGTGAAGGCAGTCTCCTTCCAGAATGTCTGGTTGAGATTGATTGTCTGGAGGTTTAGGTAACTCAGAATGCTGGCGATCGTCCAGCACCAGGTACACTACCTCACCCACCCTTTTTCTTTCCCTTTAACTCTAGGGTTTAAAGGTAAATTTTGTTGGTGTACAGCAGTGAAGCATTGGTGTCGATACTTATGTTGTTGCCTCAAATGATTATGATCAACAGAATGTGCTGCGCAGTGTTTCAGTTTGGACGATATTTGAGACATCACCGTACATTTTCTAGTGGGCGCACACTACTTATAAGATTGCTGAGACAGAGCCTTTAGTAACTCCATAAGTAATGTGTTACGTCTGGAAAAACAGCTCATTTATGGAGTTCACCATTAAAAAACCTTATGAATAACTCACTTTTACGAGACCGTGGGTGCGATGGAAAGAAGTACTGCTTCCATGAGTGAAGAGTTCTTTCAGTTGCGAGACTGAAAATACAAGATTGGTAGTCCGGGCAAGTCGGGGGAAGATAAATTAAACCCAAAAAACTATTGTAGTAATGGTATCTAAACCCAGATGTGAATTTACTGCGGACTGGCTTTATTGTTTCGTTCGCAACAGAAGATATATCATAGCAACTCTAGCTGCACTATACAGTCAATTTTAGTGAAAGCTTCACACTGCAATGTTGTGGGTTTGGAGTGTCTGTTTTGCGCCGCGTGGTATTAACTCGACTCTGCGGTGAGGACTAAGGACTGTCCCGGATAATGGCCTGAAGCAAGTTGTATTGTGACTACACTTGCGGTTTGTGATGGATTTTTACACCGATTCTGGAGGAACCCTACGTGGACGGGCCAAATAGCGCCGTTTTGACAGTCTATTAAAATGTGAAGAGCTGGCGTTTCGAAACCCTGCAAGTAAATGTGAAAGAAACAGAAAACCGAAACGCCGAGAAAAGTCAATATGGGATATTATGATTCAAAACAGACATGTTTGGTTCGGTCATTCGTCCTCCTTAAAAGATCATAAATCCCATTCTTCCGTCCTTCAAAAGTCTGATAATGCCTTTTAGGCGACGGACTTTTCGACAGCATAAGTTGATGCACCACGGTATAGTGCGGTTTGGTCAAGAACTGGTGCAACGCGGCATACGCGGAATTATCTGACATGTTTTCGTGTATCCAGAAGTCTCCATTAGAATAATGGTATTAGCTCTCGAAGTGGGGGCAAATCCGGTTTGCTTTCTCCAAATGAAATATTGTGTCGAGTCATCGCCAAATGCGCGGAAATGAGTATACCAAATGACTATTATTAAAAACTTGTCTGAGGTTGTTCAAGGGCAGAGTAATGTGCTCATCATCGGGACTACCTACCTACCTACCTGATGCGCCCCAGAAAGGCAGTAACGGGTCGTGGAATTTTACGCTACCTAGTGAGTAGCGTATTACGTCTATACATGTATTGCGATATCTGAAAGGTCGCACCAAATGAAACATGAGGCGGTATGGCGCAGCACATTCAGTTACTTAAAAACACCACAAACGAGAAATTCAGCTGGATTCCAGGAGTCTCCCGCAAAGCCAAATTGGTTTGCAGATGAGTGTGTCGCTAATTTTGTGCAATTCGGGTTCACGTAGAACATAAGGTTGACGGAAACTCGGGGGACTGCGCCCACCTGATAAGCCTCAAGAAGGACGAAACCGGTCGTGGGCAGCATTATGAGAAGTCTATTGCTGCCTTGACTTGTTTTCTCATGAGGTCCATGTAACCGCACCATCAATGAGAATCACGAGACTGTCGCCGGAAGGGACAAGTGCAACTCACACTACTGAGTCAACAGTCCGCTCGCCGTTGTTCGGTGTGCGGTCGTTGATACTGCACTGTGCCGGTGAGTGACAGACTTGTGCACTTGTTGACTCTACGAACGTGGACAGCTGAGGTTTGTTGTATAAATTTGCTTGTGTAAATAGTACCGTAGAATTTCTAAACCATATCTTCCTTTTGATATTCAGGGTTGGCGAACCTACGTGTCACTCAAAGTTCGGTATCGGGAACATCAACACTTGGTATGTTAGGCCAATACAACGTCAGTGAAATTGACTGCGACTCTCAGTTCCATAATGAGTGATGATAAACCGAATGATATTTTTGAACCCTATAATCAATGCGTCGCTAGCCAAAAGCTCAACGGCCTTCCTCGTAAAGGATTTCGGTAAAAAAAAATTGACGCGAGAATACTTCAGAGGATGACGGAACCAAAATGGAATCGAAACGCATGGAGCGACAAACCTGAAAAAAGACACTCGTTCCGCACACGTGAATTGTGTCCAGCAGCAGAGTTGGACGGGTTTGCGTGACCCGGACTGGCCAACGATATGTGACAATTCCATTCGCACTCCAGACCAAGACGTTCTGCAAACACACGACTTCGAAGTTCATTTTCCTATGCGAGAAGGGAATGGAGTGCGAGTCCTAGAATAACTCAAAAAGGAAAAGGTGAACCGGTTGCGAAAAAAGTTCAGCCATTATCGAAAACGAAGAATGACTCATTACTTGTCTAGAAGAGTATATAACCAGGATCGGGCTCAGCTGGTGACGAAAGCGTCTAATCGGAAGCAGCTCAGTGCACACGGCTACACTTCGATAACTGTACAAGGTATGGGTTTACCAGGCCACACAGAACCTAAGGTGAGACCAGTTCGCTGCATGTTCCTGACGTAAAAAACGGTCGTCTAGTCAGTCAACTGAGTTTTTCACTAACGGTCTACTCGACCTTTGAGTATCCACTTATCAACGCTCCATCATTTTGGTCAATAGTACAGGCTGAGACGATTGACACTTTCAAACAAGGATTGACTGAGTTTGACTGCTGACCACAGCTATAGTGGATAGACTGGTTCGGCGCATTTAAAATGCATTTAGAGGCAGGTTGCTTTCGGTTCATCCCATGCAAACTTTACCACAGTTGAGGCTGAAAAAGTGGAGACGGTTTGAAGTAGAAACAATTGTTGATACTTTTTCTAATGGTTACAGGAATGTTTCCTGTAGTAATGTCTGGAGGCCAGCTGTTCCTTATCGCCGAACATCTCATCATTTGGACGGATGTTTCAAGTGCAGGCTACGGACCAAACGAAGGCACGCCCTGATTAGTTAGAATGTCAGCCAATCTGAACCGAACATCTTTCGCTCGACGCTTCTCGCCCCCTTGCAGAGATTCCAGAACGACCTTGAGGAACATTCAGTGATTACCCCATAAATACAGTTGTAATAATCTTCCTTTGTCTCCATATAGGGCTTTCTGAAGCTACCGTGCCTTTTGATATACCACGGTGGGCGGAACAGGGAGCCAATGGACCGATACAGAGTTGCACGACCGCTCAGCAAGTCACAGCAAGCAGCTAGTAGCTATGCTGTGTTGTACGTCTGTTCGTACGTCACCGTTTTCCATGCAGCGTCCGTATGTAAAGCAGATAAGGAGTACAAGCTTCTTATCTGTGGTAAATACTACTTCGGCTTTTAGTTCCAACGTGTAGGACGAACATTTTCGGATGGTTGCACCTCTTTGAGGATGTTCGTGAGATAAGAAGTATTTCTCTGTGAGATTTCAGGTTCACAGATTTATGTGTTCCTACAGGACAGTATGAGTTCAGTGTACGGACCCAAACTGAGGAAGTTTTGGTGTAGCCATAATCAGTCAGGTCCATATAAACCGAACGACAGGCAAGCACGATAGCTTGAAATATGAGTTGGGTCTTTCTTGGAGTGCAGGTTCAAAGACTGCATCCTGACTCCGCAGAACAGAAGCAGGCGCTCAGCAAAGCTTTACGTTAGAAGCATAGATATCGTTACCCAACAAAGTCCAACACTGTCCAGTCTAATTTCGCCACGATGTGGTGCGGCAGCTGATTTCAATGTTTTCCAGCTCTCGGAAGTGCGTCGGATGAAAGCGATGGACGTCTGAGAATGCAATCCAGGGGAGTGGAAGCCCTTAAACAGTCATAATTTTTTGGGTCAATACAGAGCACGATATGAAAGTCAAGCATGCTGAGACGCTCGCGGATGCCTCGATCTTGCCACCTAGGTCTTGCCAGCTGTGAAATGCCAACGATTATGCCAGGTTTTAAAGCCCATAGAATCAGGCGTATTCGCTATCACCCGGCCAACTTCCGGTATGCTGTGACGCAATGGGCTTATTGGTGCTAACTGTGAGGGTGTAGCCGCGACACCTGAGAGTAACTAGAGACGCACGAGCAGCATAGACGAAGTAAAGCTGACAGCCAGGCCACGCAGCTCTGCTAGTAGTCTTTCTGAGTATGAAGTTCCCCAGGAGTCAGATGGATATTACGAAATGAGTACACAGGGAACTTCCGTACCTCAGGGTATACCGTGCATAAGACAATAAAGTAGCACCAAAATCGAAGGTTTGGTGGATTACAAGTTGAACACCCGCAGGGGAGTGATTTGGAGTGGTGGCTGACTTTCTACAATTGACTTCTAGGTTATAGATATGTTCTCCAATATGTTTACCGACGAGGTCGTTTCCCATCCTGGTATTCGGCCAGCTATAGCCCACGTCGCTGCGTTTCTTGCCGCATCCAACGATGTGCTAAACTGATGATTTAGGTTGGTATTCTTGACACAAAAATAATCGGACTGTTTTCCTCTTCAGACAACACCAAGCAGTCCCATTCTGGAGTTAAGTCTGATCAGTTGTGGTTGGCCCAATAGATTGGCCCTCCACCACACTACGTCCGGAGTGTGCGCTAATATCTACATGAAACATTCAGGGATAGGTTGGGAGAGCTACTCCGATCGCTGGATCTGACTCCTGGACTCTTCCTCCGTTGCGTCTATAAGAATAGACCAAAAAGACTTCAAGAATTACAATCGAGCATCATGAGCGAATGTGAAAAAGGCAACCGGGGCGACCATGTACAAAGTGACAACCAGCTGTTATGGACGGATCCTCATCAAGAAATAAAGCGTTAATGCGTACTTTTATCATGCATTTCAATGGACTATAAGTATTGTCTATGTTTAATCATATCACCAAGATATTTTTATTCAAAACTAGTTTTCGTGTGAATTAGCTCAAAGAAACTGTGATACAACAGGCAGGTATATTGCCCACATTATCACTTTGGAAGTTGCCTGATAAATGATTGAGTTTGTGAAGCGTCATCTTAGCAATGAAAATAAGTCCTTCATTGACATTTCTGTGTGGTAAACGGATCTCGAGAAACGTACTTGCATGAGCAGAATCGAGGTACACCGGCGCTCCCATGTTGTATCATTCAGGGGCGGGGGGGGGGGACCAAGTGCCAAGTTGCGGTAAGTACTTGATCGTCCAGTGCCAGATAAAACCAGCTTATCTTGGTTGCTCGTGAGTTCTGTTAATATTTATTTCGTTTTCACCGTCATCATTCCCGGTTAGGGTTATGAATTCATTAACTCCGTTTTGCGACTCCTATACATGTGCCGATTGTCACCACTGTCTCTCACACAGCTAAGTATGAAACCTGGTGTGCCCTCGTATGTGTCNCATAATCGAGGTACACCGGCGCTCCCATGTTGTATCATTGAGGGGCGGGGGGGGGTCACCAAGTGCCAAGTTGCGGTAAGTACTTGATCGTCCAGTGCCAGATAAAACCAGCTTATCTTGGTTGCTCGTGAGTTCTGTTAATATTTATTTCGTTTTTACCGTCATCATTCCCGGTTAGGGTTATGAATTCATTAACTCCGTTTTGCGACTCCTATACATGTGCCGATTGTCACCACTGTCTCTCACACAGCTAAGTATGAAACCTGGTGTGCCCTCGTATGTGTCGGTATTGAAGCCCACCGAATGATGCTGGTAGGGTTCTCTGAGTTCTCTTTTAAGTTAGCAATTATCTAGGTGGCAAGCTTTAGCAATATTTTATTGGGTTCCTACCCCGAAATGCCGATAACCTTTGTGCAGCCATGTTTCACGAAGTTGAGGTCCTCCGGAGTAGTAACGTATAAACTAGAGGTGGGCTGAGTGTTCATGTCGGCATGGTGTTTTCTAGGCAGCGAATGGTAAGGGCATTTTCACCCCGGAAAATTTCTCAAGGTTATCAAACACGCAAACTGGGTTACCAAAAGACTTATTTTTTTACGTGAGTCGTGCCAGTAGTCCTTCCATCTATCCGGACTATCCCAGCTAATTTTTTTTATCGTTTAGACGGATGATGTGTTTCCACTCCGTTCGGAGAATACGATTTTCCGTGGTCTGGTGGTATTTAGCTGAGATTACGGGACAAGAGCGGAAATTACCACATTACAATGTTAGGAATTATTGGTTTGAAACGCTCACGTACCAAATCGCGCAGTATTTTTGTGCACGGCACTCTCAGCAACTGGGTAGAAATAAAAAACATTCAGCCGAGGCACCCTTTCGGTGTCTGGCTGCAAGGCCACCCAGAAGGAAGCATGAGGGCTGAGATACTGCTAGTCTGCCAAAGCCTGGACACGAGTAACCAAAATGCTGAGACTGCGTTCTATACCCAGACCTTTCAGTCGTTTAGTTCGCGTCTCGACCACTGAGCTATCTTGGTTGGATAGATTCCAGCCCGTTTCTGGGTAAAACAAGGTGTGTGCTGTACTGCTACTAAACATGGTGAATAGAGTAGAAATTCTGCATGTCTAAACTTGTGAACTGTGATACCCTCCCCAATGAGAAGTGATGACAAGATTCAGGTAGTGTGTACCTTTGAGCGGTACTTAGTCGGTTCGATAGCTTATACTGTCCGGCATTGATGTTGACACCGAACACGAAAATTACGTTCATCGTATGCAACGTTATTTCCCACGAGGTTGCTAAGAGAAACGGATCTTTTCTGGTTAGAAACGAAACACAAGTGGCCTCGAAATTGTATGGCTGGCTTACCGGGGTGGACTTACCCGAGAAAAATGAACGAATCGGATGCACGCTTGACTGAGCCGGCGAATAGTCTCCAACACACTGGCATTCACTTGATACTGCATACTAATGAGACCAAGAAATATTTGGTTTTCAATCACTGTTTGTAACTCGGTAGGCGTTGCGTGATCAGACGGACTAAAAAGGCACAAATTATAAACGGAAGTAGTAACAAATGAAAAAAAAACAGCAGCATGTAAAACTGTAATTCATATGTAAAGTATTGACAGACCTGGAGTTGTTAAACAGTAACAAAACTGGTACGAAAAGGGTTTATGAAGAATAAGGCGGAATGGACCATTGGCCAAGATGTGCCAGAATTGACTGAGCGGGGATTCAACAGACATCACTGTCATATGGTCTACGGAATATGGAACATGCAGTGGTGTGTGCAGTAGAACTGTGCTCTCTTATTTCATGCTTGCTTGCTTCACTTCACAGCGAAGGCCCCCGTGATAACAGAAGTCGGCTTCACAGATATCCTCATTGTTGCTGGACACGAATAGACTGCTGCTGCAGGGGTTTTTCAAACCTGTTTGGGACTTGACAGTAAAATTCCACAGGTGAGAAGGTGGTATGTCAAAAATACAACAAATTATTTTTTGTTCCTACTACACTCAGTTTAGGGTTGAAGACCCAACATGTTCGTGAGACGCAAGCAGTCCCCCAATTCTAAATATGTATACTTGCCCACGACATCTACCAGTCAGAAACCCTAAAAGTCAACCACCGCTCATCGTCCGCTGATACCATAGCAAGCAGTCAAAGGATGAGGGAGGGAGGCCTGGCGAACGGTCAAATTAGTGTTACTTAATTGGGCCTGATCTGTTCATACCCCGACCGATTGTTTGTTCGGTTTGCCGCTGAAATTGATCCCGCCATAATGTTTGTTTACTTAAACGATAACTTCTGCGTGAGGTCCCTTTCCCTTATCATTCTGGTGTTCGGTGAGCCTTTCTAGCGGACGCTTTGAAAAGGGTGTCACGGAATTAATTGTTAAGTTTGATGTAAGTGGCGCCACCTTATTCTAGACGCGATTCATCGCATTGTACTACGGCAAATGCTTTGTTATTCGTACGACAGCTAAGAATGAAGTTGGGTTTCGTCTTATCCTGCTGCTCCCAAATTTGAGACACGACAGAAAATTTCATGCAGTTCTCATGGAGTGTTTTGAGCAAGCCATATGCAATTGAATTAATTGATCCTAGCAACCACATAATTCTAGCGTATTTCGATCGCTTTGTTTTTGTACCACATGGTTGCCTGGATAAACTGAATTTCGAGTGATAAAATCTGGAGGCTCAGTATTTGAAGTGCGCTGTGGATCATGAAGCTTGCTTTCAATTGCGCGGATGTGCTTATTTGGGTCAGATACATACAATCGATTGCAGAATTAGTTGAAGAAACAAAGCGAATTGGGGACTAGGTTGACACCTGGTGCTATATTAAGCACCTCGCGCCTCCTGGAACCGGCCGAGGGAATTAGGATTTCAAGCTTCCTCGTACCTAACATGGCTTCCGAAATTACTGTGTCACTTACATAGCTTGCAAGACAAAAATGAAATGCAAATTGTTAGGCAAGAATCCACACGGATTCCGCTATACCGCACGCCTATAGGCGCGGCAACGGCCGATAAGCCTGGCCCGCACGGGGTTGGCTCAGAATTCGGGACGCTTGCCGGTCCGGTATCAAGACGAGATCTGATTGGTCAACAATCTGGACCCAACAGCCAATCATGACCCAGTATTGGCCAAATGCCGGTTGCCAATGCCGCATCCAGAACGCGTCAGAACTTCCAGAAGTTTATAACCGCTTACGCTATATATACGAAGCGCTGTACAACTGTTCTTGACTTCGTTTTGGGCATTAATAGACCTTGTGCACCTTTGTGGTTGTTTTGACGTGAACGCTAGCTTGGTAGGCTCAGACCGAGAACTAAGCTGAGGGAAAATGCCGTTACTACACAAATAGCGATACATTTCTTCTGTTTAGTTCATATTGGTGGTATCCGTATTTGTCTCAGTGAGTCATAAAGGCGAATGATGAAAGGGAATCACAGTGATAAACAGGCTGAGGATCACTGACCTAACAAATGATCTAATCAAGTATATCTATGGACACATTTGGTACCACACTGATTGTAAGCTGTGAAAAATTATTGTCATGGCTTTTCGAAATCCCACAGACTCTATTGGTTGTATGATAAGATGCAATTCGATCACCGATTATTTTTGTGGACTACGGTTCCTCCTTGAGATTTGCAAACTCGAGGACACATGAAAAAAAGCTTTATGGGTTCTGAACAGTAAACAACTAGCTTGAAAAGTCCAATTTTCCACATGAGAAAAGCATAACCATAAATCCATTGATTAAATTCTCCTCGGTCTACTGAAAATCCTATGAGAAGAAAACGCAACGGTCTTAAAACACACTTGCTGAAAGTCTATTGTTGACAGATATACGGTTTAAGAGAGTTAACTTCATCTTGATGCGCTCGATACCCTCAAAGGCAGGGACAGCTTTTCGAAACAGCCTCGCTCTTGTTAACCGAAAATTCCAAAAAAGAAAATAAAAACCGCACACGTGGAATCCCAAGCTTCGTATGAGGTCGTTGGCAGTGGCTTTCCGTTCAAACACCCGGCTACAATCTGACAGAATTCGCAATAAATCTGGTGTAATGGTGAGTTCCATACACAAACCTTACCTTTCCTGCTCATTCTTGACATAGAATGGCTTTTTCGGAGTGGAAAAGTCATCGATCTGTGATCGAACTGCTGATGACAGTTGCCTGGGATCCACGCTTGTATCACCGTAAGATCGTGTACTATGTGTACTTGAACATGTACTACGAGTACTATGAGCCGGCACACTGCCACCAGACGAAACCAACTCAACAAGCGTCTTTTCTTCGTCCTTATGCAAGAGTTCAAAAGCGCCGACGAAGTCTTCAGGTATAGCACAGCTATCATATCGCTCATGGTCACGGGGAGCGAACTGAGGCCCTGCATGCCAGCTTCGGTGTTTGTCTCGACGTTCTTTTGATGCATCAGCGGTATTTCGAGCCCGAACATAATCAACGGTTGGTCGTGGAAGTTGGGCGCTATAGGGTCGAGGATAGTGATGGACAGGAGTAGGAATATGGCTTAGGAGAAACGTCAATGCCGGGAGGCGATTGGACTGGAAAAGAGTCAGATTGAATGGTTTGGTGAGTTGCTTAAAAAGTAAAGGGTAGTATGAAGTTACGTGAGGCAAAAAAACTATACTACTATTCTAGTGAACCTACCGTGATGTGCTTACATAATCGTGTGGTTGGTAAGATGCTTCTTACAAATAGGACATAATAATAATCCTTTCAGTTGCCAACTAACCTATCTGTAGAAGGGTACACCGCATACAACAAACATCATTGCGATCGGCCAATTCGAAAAGTCCAAAATGAGCAGCTCCTCAATAGCTGCCAATGAAGTGGCTTCAAACGTTTCAGACTCACGTTTCCAAATCACTATAGATTTTACTCTGCGAAAAAGAGCCAACGCCTGATGAAAAGCGCGACTTACCGTGAATTCAGGACGTGAGGCTACAGGTTATTGTTAGCATGACTAATAGTTGTCTGCATAGAGGTGTGTTTGAATACAGGGACACAGTCGGACGGTTCACGATTTTGAAACTTTCAAACTTCGAATTTTGATCAAATCACATGCCGCTCACCGAACGGCGCGTGTTTGAAGGATACAGACTGGATGGATGGGCATACTCTGCAGGACACACGAACCGAATAAACGGACATCAGTTCACAGAAGACTGCAAACTCTATAGTTAGTTTCTCTGTCCCACAGACCAGACTTTTCAAACACCCATAATGTGTCCACAAAAACAATCACCATCATCGTAGTCGTCATCAGAAATCAGTGTCGCCACTGATCCTCACTACCGCGCGGACAGAAAGTTTATTTTCCATAAGCGAGTCAAAAGATCAATAAAAAAGAAAGGGCAGACAAGGGACCACCACCAGTCTGAGATGCCCACGGCTCTAAACATTCAATCAAGGAATGTTGAGAGGAACTGCTAGCACGGACGCACTGATGATGTCTCTTCGTATGGTGACGAAACGTTTGCAAGCCAATTGCCAAGCTCGGCGAACTGATCAACAGCCACGTGATCAACAACCAACCTTACTGCCTTCACACTCCTGTCGCAGAGAACAGTTCGACTTCATCTCTAGATCGCCTCGTAGCACGATTACTCGTAGAACGGGGTATCGCTGCTCTTGGACTGGCTGCTTCTCTTTGGCCTTCCTGGCATGGTTGCACCTTGTGAAACGACGTTCCAGCCAGTGAAGCCCGCGGGATCATCGCAGCACTCAAGCGCGACCACTACGTCAAGGTGGCAGCTTTAGGTCTCGAGAGAAATCTTTAGATCTCTGACAACCGATGCCGCAGAACGACTAGAATTAGCGAATTCTTAAGGAAAATACCTGAGTGCTGGGGTGTAAGCACCTCAGATACCTGTGATAGGCTGGCGCTCAATTCCTCCACCTGACCCATCATTCTTCTCTCCATTATGGAGCACTACTGAAATGAACTGATATGGTAGTGGAGCCACAAAGCATCCATGTTCTCCGTTAGGGTTGCTGGCAATAACATTAGTGATGTTAATGCGAGCAGTGACACCAAGAGAGCGTTCCAAATCCGGACAGTAAGATGATTAAGGTGTACAACCAAAGCCTGGGACTCACAAGGCCGACCCCGAGGTGCCGATGTTTGATGGAAAGGCTAAAGCATCACAACTACAAAGAAATAAGTTGAGATGTGTTCAGACGCCCCACCCTAAATGGCCATGAAATTCGGTTCCTTGATCAACATGGTATGAGGTTCAAAAGGTATCATATGGACAGTCTCCAGTATGGCTGAATGTTTTATGGAAGCACATAAACCACCACGATGAGGTCCAGTCTATTTGCCGTGGCACACAGCTGGTGAAAATAATTAATTGTAGTCCGATAAATAGTTTGGAACCGCAACTCTTAGGGCAAATGTGAAAGGGACAATGGAAGTGACGATATCTGCATAAATGATATAGCAAAACGGCAGCTCGAAAAAAGCAATGGGGCGGAAAACCGGGAAAAGATGGATGAACAACACAAAGCTTAATGGTCCAAGAAGACACCTTTTTATTTCTTTGGTTGAACTGAGCCAGGATTATTGGATTGTAGGCACGCACGTAAGAGTCATTACGAGAGGATCAACGGGCGGATAAGCACCCATATGCGAGTTAAGTTGATGTTAACGAGAGAATCCAATGAATTCCATTTGAATGTATTGCCTACGATGTTCTACAACCAAATATGTTTAAAAAGGCCGACTTATGTTTCAGGTAAGACAATGATAAATATATATTTTCTTGACACAGCACCTCACAGAACCGCTGACGTATCGTTCCAACTGAAACAGAAGGCGGCCTTCGTTCAAAGTATTCGGTTGAAGAGCACTACAAAAAACGAGAGATTCAGCTGAGTCTCTGTTAACATCGGGTTAATTTGCATATGCATGTATAACTCCAATTAAGTACAATTTAGTATTCAGCTAGAAAATGAAACTGACAGAAACTCAAGGGTTACACTTGTCTGGATAGTCACAATAAAAGGGAGATCAGAAGTGGGGTGTCGAAGACATCAGCCTCGGAATAGCTCGGTGGCTGAGGCGTGAACCTACTGACCAGAAGGTCCGTGGTTTGAACCCGACCTCTGTATCTCGAATGCTCCTGTGTAGGCTTGAGTGTCCTGCTAATATCTCAAACCTCCTACTTCCTTCGAGTGGCACGGCAACTATCCACCAAGAGGGTGTAACAGCTGAAAGAGGACTACCTCGTCATAGTCCCTCTTGATCCTGAGTAAAACAGGAAACCTTAGAGGGAAAAATATGCACTGAAATTCGGATTTAGAATTACCCTGGGAAGCTGAAGGAGAACAACCGCCGAGGTATCTGCAAAATCGGACACAAGTGATTGGGAAGGAACGATTGTCGGTCGTTCTAACAATGGGGCGTAAGCAAACCCAATACAGAAAGCAGCAGAAGCAGTTCGATTGTAGAAGTCTAGTAGTGAGCTTTTCTCCGCATAATGCATCGGGACCACATCGCGACCATCCCATAGGTCAGAACAGAGAGATGACAGCATGTCCCCGGTTCCTTGAGACAGCAGTTGGTAGTTGCCAGATGGATTCGAATCCCGAAATACAGCGGCAAAGCAACTAGACAACGAGGAGTTTGGGGTCTAGGAGATGGACCAAGGTAGACGGAAATCAATTAGAGGGAACGACTCTATAGTGTTACCAAACTGCCAAGTAGACCAGCTACATTGGAAACAAGCATATCTCATCTGGATCGAGTAAAAGGAACTAACCAAACACACATGAGCCTAACGGTAGGCATTTCAATTAGCTCATAGTAATTTTATGACAAGATCAGAACGCTCTGGTGCCACGGAAGGATGGATATAGCATGAGTTTCAAGTGGACTAATCAGGAGTAGTGTTCAAACTAATACTAAGAAACAATGCAACGGCGCATCTTTGGCATGGTGGGAATCAGAAAGAAAAAGATACTTCTACATCGTACGTTGTTGTCGAAAAGCAACTTCAGCCCTTTACATGTCGGTGGTAGCTATATTGATCAGACACAATGGTTTGGATGAAACGTTTAGATCAACAACAAAACCGAATCAGTCTTAAATTTCCTCATCTAGTCTTATGGCGCCGGATGTGGCCAAACAGGGTGTCAGTACAAACAACAACCCCACAGGTTTAGTTAAGATTAAAAAAACTCTCAAGGGTATGATATTATTGATGGAAGGACACTATTTCGTCAACTCTCCTCATAAGATCAAACAATGCATTTAGGTGTCATGAAGAGAGAGGGCAACTAAACGTTACGGCAATCAGTGTGGATAAATTAGACGAAACGTCCTGCAAAAGTGAAAAAATAATTCGAACCCTCAAAGGGGAGCAGAGCCAGAGCCCCATGGTTTGTGAATGACGGTATGGTCAAACTAGCTCCAACTGTGACTACATATTCTTACAGTGCATAGAGTAGAGATAAAAACTGTAACGTTTTATTTTTGAACAAAGACTGTCCAAGGTTCCTCCATGAAACTGGAGACAATCCAGTGACCGTTCCACCCTTCAACGTAACAGATTAAACTCGTTTTGTTGAACAACGGTAACAACATAATATCAAAGGACGAGGCCACTGAGACAAGTGAGGTGTTAGTGATTCACCAAAACTGTCTAGTTTATTGATCCAGAAAGTAAAAGGATGAAAGCGATAGTGCGCATAGAACGAACACTGAGTCCAATCGCGATCTCACACACCAGCTGGTCACAATAAAGATAAAACGACAGCAGAAGAGCAGGTAATCAGCTATCAAAATGAAGTGTAACTGATTTAAACAAAAAAAAGACGAATTTCCTTGATCAAGGTCGGGAGCACAAACGAATCGGGGGGATTCGTTGGCCGAAAAGTCCCTGGGTAAACTAAGTTGCATCGGATACAGATGTGATCGACTGGTAGAGTTTGTTGATGCTGTGTGGATAACGATCACACAGCGACAGAGTTTTCGGACGGAATGCCACTATCCAAGGTGTGACAATCCTTGGCTCAAGATGACTCAGTGGTTAAGGTGTGAACGTAGTAACCGGGAGGTCCATGGTTTGAACCCGACCTCTGCATCTCCACGGCTCATGTCGAGGCATGGACAACCTAGCAGTAACTCGGCCCTCGTGCTTCCTTCGGGAGGCATGGCAGCTAGATACCGAAAGGGTGCTACAGCTGAAACATTATTATTATGTTATTAGTGTTCACAGGATGAACGGGAACCGAAAATCACTACGTGGGCATGCCCGTTAGGGGCGATACAACCGCTGTTGCTGAAATCCGATTGCAGGAGTAGATTCGACTGTGGTCACAGTGGCAATCTGTCAAAAAACTGCCCGAAAGAGAACATTAAATCCGAGTCAATGAAAATCATACTCACCGATGGCAAATACTCCTCATGCGAAAGGCCAGTAGCACTGATATGTTCTGGAAACGGAGAATTTTCGCGCAGTGATTTCGTTGGTAAGGGGCAAGTCGGCGAACCGAAATTGTAGGCGCCGATACATCCACAGGAGACAAATGCTGTAGAAGCACTGGCTTGAAACCCGATTTGCTGGGCCAAACCACACAGACAGAACGGCAAAGGTGTGAAAGGTAGAAAGCGGTCCGCACTTCGAGCTACTGCATTACTGGCAATCAGATGATCTGTGACAAGAGCTCGTTCACTGGCCACACTGGAGTGACAATTACTCAACAGCAAGGACAACCCGATCGGTTTGAGGGACGGCAGAAAACGAACCCAGCGAGGTTTTTCGAAGTGAGGTAAGTATGGCCAACGGTCATCAGTGCGCAAGTCTAAAACCATTGGTATTATGTAGGGATTTTCACTACCATGCATGATTCCACGATCTTCTAGTTCACTGCAAAAGCTTCCAACGCGGTCGCTATGTCGTTCAGAATAGACAGCTGTGCTACTTTCGAGGGGAACATGGTGGGATACGCAGGCACTGGAAAACTGTATGGAAGGGTAAAAGTGGGGAAAAGTACACAGCTGTCAAGTCTCTGAAATCAACCACAATAATCGCCACAACTACCAGGTCGGGATACGAATAAAGCACGAATTAAACCGTTCTACCACTATACCAATAGGGGATTTGGATTTCGACTAAAGATGGACCGACTAAATAAGAAAGAAAATTGATTACTTGGAAAGACAAGGAAATGAAAAACATACCAGCTGAAAAACTGCCTTGTTGCGCATAAGAACGGGTGATGATCACGACTGCAACGACATTTCTGAATGTCTTTAATCACGTAGTACGCAGAACCACCAACCTGATTAGGCAGACGGATGTAAAATGTAATCGGATGGTGTTCTTGCAGAATAAAAGTTTTCACACATGAATAGTGAGCACTTGGAATCATCAAAGCTGTGACGAAAGTTGTTATTGATGTTCACTATCATTATTTCATTCTCACGACTTCAGGACTAACCAATATAGGATCACTTGAAGCTTAAGGGTATAATGCGTACTTCAGGTCCTACGGACTAGTGCGGCGACGAGTTCACTTTTCTGAAAGATTACCACAATGGGATACGCATTAGTTGCCCAATCATTCCAAGATTAATGATGATTCTAACTGATGCATTGCCTGTCTGACTGGTGTTATCGAATGGTCATACGTGGGCTCGTTTTATCCGCCGATCCTAAGCTGCACTAAAGTGGATTACGTGTACTTTGTTCGTCTTGAATTGGCGTTTGAGAACGGAGATATGGCTGATTTAGGCTAATGCATTTATATATACGTATGATAGATAAGAGTGTAAAATGAATAGTCTGGATAAAACTACGAAAATATGCATAAAAATCTAGTTGGGCGTTAGTGGTCAGCTCGTGCTCCATAAACTGGAGGAAGACCCGACTGCCAGAGCAGAGATGGCGGAAAAGCACTTAGAAAAGCGGGATGAGTAACAAGAACATTACCTGGTTCGTCAGACTATGCATTTCGCACGGGGGCTTCCCCAATCTATGTCTCCGTGATTCCCCCTGCGCAAAAGTGGATAGCGGACTTTTGAAACCTCCATCAGTCATCACATACGAGAGATGTGTTGTCCCGTTGGGTGAATGGACTGATTGGTCCCGTTGTATTTGATGGTGGATAAGACGAGCATGATTGTTACGACGGCGACGCCGTCGATGGAAGAAAAATATTTTCTCCGGTGACGGAATTGGACGGCTGAGAATGCCCTCCTGGTTGACGCAACACACCGAACTAATGGCACCGAGCATCAATAGCTGCTGTTCTTGAGCAGGATCTGGTGCTAAACAAAACTAAGTGGTTGGGGGAAACAAGAATCATACGCAGGTCAGATATACCTAACGGAAATAGGCTGACGTAAACTCGAAGCAGTAATTTGTGGTACTCAAGAGGAAAAATGTTAAGGTAAATTGGAAGATCCGCCCTCATTCCTCGATTTCTCCCCCACCAAAAAAATCAAGCAGTTTCATGTGTCGCTTGATTACCAAAGACTAAAGCACCACTTGCAACTAGAAGCCAGTCCACGAACTATTGAAAACTGACTGGAAAAATGTGGCGAACCGTCTGTTGCCAGAAAACAGGGAGTTGTGGCCACTAAAAATTGCCCCAACTGTTCCAAACTATTCAGAGTGGAATTATATTTATTGCATGTACCAAAAGCTCCCAGTATCGACTACTAACCGAAATCCGTCAGTGGTCTGTCCTAGGAGAGGGAGGTCTTGTTGGGATAGGCAGCTGATCAGTTAGTCTTGTGACGACTAGAGACCACTTGAGCCTCGGTAGCTGCGCTAAAGAATAACAGTAAAAAACAATCAACTGGAGCAGGCACAATCGTAAAGGAAAAACTGGGTAGCTGCAATAAACAGTGTGCGGGAATTACTACAGTGAGTCAACCATAAAAACTAAATCCTCTGCACTATCAGTTGATCGCACTAGATCAACCAATCACTGTACGTGAGTTGGTGTTTCCGTAATTCACCAACTTATAGAACACATCAGCCCTGAATATCGTTAACCACAACTATTGTAGGGCCTAAAGGTCACGAAAGGGTGCTGCATCTGAACAGTTTCTTATACGCACGTGCGATGTTGCGAAAATATTGGGCAGATTGAGGCTCCCATCGAACCATCGAGTGGTCTTCATTCTCCTCCCATCTTACCCGACTCAATACGAGACCGATAGCTTATACGTACAAAGGTGCCAGCAGATAAAGTTACTCACCTTAGACCAGATTGTACGCAAATGGGATCGTAGATCATGTTTGTCTGATTGCGTGCCGGGTAGAGATCCACAAGCATCAGAAGCCAGGCTGATAACAGATACACGCGATGATGGGACAGACGAGGAGGGAGTTAAATCCCACTCAGTCCTCAAGCGTTTCTTGTGGTGAAAGATTATTCTCTCAGCCCGAACACAAACCAGTGAGACACTATAAAGCCAAAGAACTGACAGGCCCAGCCCTGAAGAGCAGTACAAAAATCGGCCAAGCGTACTGAGCGTAAACGAGAACAGAATGGGTCTAGAGGCTAACAAAGTGGTCGAATTGGTTATCCATATACGGACAACGAGGGTCACGCAGAACAGGAGCAAAATTATCCACTTAACGATGAATGTGAACATGAGAAAAACTCTTATGAAAGTTCCAAGAGGTGAGCTCCAGTCGGATTTCTTGGGGCGGCGAGCTTCTTCAAACCGCCGAAGAAGATGCACGAATGGAGCCTCGGACACCAAAGCTCTGATTGGTTTGTGCAATGTGTGGACCATGGGTTTTCTACAGACGTCCCTAGGGTCCCCTGCCAGATGGGAAGCGCCATTCGATTCCTTCTAAAGAAGTGCTTACTAGTGAAACAATGTTTACCTGCACAGCACCATCTGGTGAGCAAAATTCAGGAATTGATTGTCCCGGTTTGATCAGAACAACATCCCCAGGAACCAACAAAATGATTGGGACAGACACCAACCGGCCATCTCGAAAAGTTGACTGTATAACAGAACTCAAATGCGGTAGTATGTCAAACCGAGGGTAGACAAGAGGCGAAAAAGCGTTATTTTTGGAAGTGACCATATCTGTTCATGGTTATAAGATGACCAAAGGGAGCGCACCTAAATCAGATAAAAGCTTTTTTAACGCGAAAGCTGCATAGCTTCCTGGTGCTCGAAGTCGACGATGGATGAGCCACAGTGTGAAAAAAGGTACAATCAACAGTGTGAGCATCAGGACAACATCGCCTAGGGAGCTACAAGTTCACGCGGTTTTATCAGGGAAGTTTGATAATGACTTACCAGGAAACGTTCCACTGCAACATAGCGGCGATAAAAATCATCACCGCCGATAAAGCATGGATAGAACAAAGTAAAACTTCGTGTGACGGTAAATCGAAAAATGCAGCCCGTGTCCACTCTAAGCCGTTATTTGGAATCCTGATATTTGACAATGTTTGAGTTAGCCGACAAAGGGCTTCTTTCGTCGTCAGACCAGATGACATACCCTGAGGCAGATATACCGGTACGTTTACTGAAAACAACAAAGGCGCCTGTAGTTATGACAAGAAAAACAAGTTCGAAATACCAGCATAAGATGTCGATTGGACATCAGATGAGTGGTGAAAAAACGGCCTAAAAAGCTGCCTGATGATTCCTCACCAAGCACCACTAAGGATAGCACCACAAGTTATGCACCTAAAGCAATTAGTGGCTAGCTGCTTTTTACTTTACAACTTCCCGTTTTAGGTGAATTAGCTCTCTAGGTGGTCGCTGATAGAAATTAACGGCCGGAAAACACTTTGCAATCTATTGCTGTTCCCAACTATACACGTCACAAACGGAATACAGCATTATGAAGTCAGTATTCCCGGTAAATGAACATTAGGTGATGAGTAGAGATGTGCGGTAAATGTGCCATTCGAAGTGTCGTTGAGACGAAGCGGTAATGCGAAGGTAGTCACGACAGTGGGCCGGTGCGATTTCGCGTTAGGTCGATTCTCATGAGACGGGACCAGAAGACACCGTCATAGCTGCTAGACACAATAAACTGAATACCCGTGAATTTCGGCCCGGACTGAGATGCTACAAAAATCTACAGCTTACTTCAAAAGACAATGGATTACCACCAAAATATGCTGGCCAGCACCCTGTCCATTAGAACTCCGGCAACTTCTTCAAACAGTTTATTACCCGTTTTCGCGGGTTGATACACAGGATCGAGGCTTTCGCTCAAACTCCCTGGATCGCGCTTGTTCTTGCCAATAGCCACCCTCATCATCACCACTAAACTTCGCCGTCGTGTCCAAGCACAGATCCACAATGGACATCTAAGGAAAGCTACAGGAGGTCCTTGCTCACAACTGTTTATTGGCCCGGCATGAGCATGTGCAACGGGTATTCGGGGTTGTTTCCAATGCACAACTGTCCAGAAGTTACTCAATCGAGTCACCACATCCCTGGCCACAGCCAGAAAAACCATGGTCCCGCATCCGAGCCAGTTAACAGCAAAGCTTCCTCGACCCTGTGGATACACTTAGTGAGTGGCCTGAAATTTTTGTTCTTTGAGACAACAACGACAACCATCACTACACCATGGGATTTGTCTTCAACCTCACGTCCCCAGGGCAACTACTGTGCGCGGAAATGGTGTTGAGTTGACATCGACTTGATAAATTGGCTCGAAGGCGATCACGCGACTTGCGGCGTCATCCCCATTCTGATTGGTTGAAATCTAGATGGCGGGAACAATCAAAAATGACAACATGGCGGCTTTGCGGCTTATGATTGACCCTCTCAAACGAAGCAGAAAATTATAGTGCGGTTGTATCTTTTAAATATTTACATCGGCAACGGATTTTCTAAGTCAATGAACGCAAAGAGTAATCGATTACCGGTAGTTTAGGATAGCTCGGTTGTAAAAAGTGTTACCTTACATTTTGTTCGTACAGTTTTCTATATCTCCAAAGGAAGATGGTATTTGGGATTACTGGCGGTGCCAAAAAGTAATTAGTCGGAACAGCATGGATTTAGCAGCTGACCCTGGTGTATTGACCGCTTGCACTCGGCATCGTTCACAAGTTATGAAACCGTTATTCGTTTGAATGAAAGTACAGCCTACGGGCTATTGTCTATGTTCCTCTCAATGAATGCCTTGAAGGCCGTGTATCATTGGTATTGTGTTCGGTAGCTAAGGCACCCGATATTTTCTTTGACTACCCTAGGTGAGAGACCCGGTGTGTTCATGGACAGCCCTAACTTTGGTTTACAATGACAGAACCATCGGTTCGTCGTTTGGAGCCAACAGATCAGCGATAGCGCCTGTGGTTGAGCTACAGCTGCAGCTCTGGCACCACCGGTGGCAAACGTACCATGCCACCCCCATTTGCCACCTTTGAGCACCGATGCCCACCGGTGGTGCCACCGGCGGCGTGTTTACTGAGTGGTCACCTATTTTCTGTTTCTGATCGTTCACCCCCTAACGTAAAGTATCGTTGTGGCATGAAGAAGGGTTTACCAATCATCTGAGCACGCAGAATAGTGTAAGCATTTATTGACGTATTTAGTGAGCAATGTACGCTAAGCTTGGAATACCACTGTTGCCATAATCTTCTAATGCGGCTGTTGACGACGCTCATCAGCTATGCCTAAAGCAACAGCAACTCGTCACCTTTGTGGGTTTTCGACCTTGAAACTCAGTTGTGGCTGGAAATCATTCCTTCCGTTTTCGTTGACGACTCTACATACTATGTAACAACAGGCGATGTATTAAGTGTACGGTGCGCCCCTGTCATAGAGTCTTCGGGTTGAATAAAATTCCTTTCGATTACGTAACTAGTAACACCGTGACATGAAACACCCATGGAGCCTAGCAGGTGCTTCAGGCACAGTTAGGCCGCCGGGATTTGTGCATACTGCTAAACGCATGCTGTTAGAAGCGACCCTATGTTGCCCTAAAATGTTTCGGGACCACTCTGAGGCTATAGACGAAATCAGAAAATTACGCCCCCCTTTCTCACCTACGCAAACTGGTCTTCAACTCAAGGCCTGGATGCCCTGGTTGCCGTGACGCTTGAGTTATCGGGAAACATGAAACCAATTTTAGGAAAACAATTTTATTATGACTGATTGCAAGCAGATAACAGAATCATTAAAAATGTGTTCCACAGTTGTGCCTGGAAAGTAAATGGGAAAAGAATTAGTGCAGGGCAACGGAATGGAAACGACCAGAGCCCCGTCCGCCCAGCCTGCGGAAAAAACGCATACTAGTTACCACTACTGTACCGCGTTGAGGAGGGGATTTTACGGAAGAAAAAACCAACCAACCACCGACAACTGCGTGTGGTAGCATTGGTGCTAGGTTGAATCTGCCTGAATTACATCACCATACTTTGCATACAAACCACGCAGACGGACGGAAGTAAAAGAACATTCAAACTCCCATCACCACAGACACAGCCATGGGTCCAAATGGGCGCAGCGCATCTCCGATACCCTGCAGATCATATACAGGATAGTTCAAGCGGCGCAGTTTATCGCGCAGGACCCGCACATCATCACCGGTCAAGTCTATTCAATAGTTTTTCCCGGACATACTTCGGATTTCCATGGATGACTTAAAACATCGCAACAATCCAAAGACAAACAACAATGAAACGTACGCAGGTTATTCTGTTGGCCCGAGGATACATCCTGTGTACCTACAAGTTATTGTACCACATTTAACCATTTTACTTGGCAACAATCCAGCTGATGAGGTACTCGGCTCAGGAAAAATGGGTAGTACCGCCCTTGGAACCGTGCTGGCGGCGTTCCACATGGCGTGGGCACCCGGACCGCAAGCGGAGCAAGCGAGGAATGACCATTTGTAGCTCGGCGCCAGTTTATATACCATCCTGATTTTGGCCTTCACACACCAGCTGCCCGGTCCAGATCGCAAGTCGCCGACTCTGGACTCGAAGACTCAGCATCATGCATGTAACTTCTGTCAAAATGTGAACCAGTATGTCCAACGATTGAACACGACTTTAGGACGATCGCACAAATCCCCAGCAATGACGTGAGCCCAACCACTCCTCTCGCAGACAGAAAAAGACTGGTGGAGCTTGGGAGGAGAGATTTTACTGGCGCGGAAGTCGATTCGTGCACAAGCCAAACTGAAGCAAATGATTGACTGGTCGTAGCCACGTGGTCCATACCACAACATACAACCACTGCATACGAGGCACAGCTGCTTAGCAGAGGTTTGCACCGCCGGCCGCTCGGTGGCCAAGCGAGTTGAGCTTGGCAGCGGCCCTGGTGGTTTGCCGTTCAAGTCCGGACGACTTTGGCCAACTTGTTTTCGACTTTCCGGGTAAAATGTTATTTCATAGGATGCTACTATTTTTGCTGAGTCACATATAGTACTAAAATATGATTCACTAAGATGAAATCAACATAATGTTGGATTGCTACATTTTTGCTGAGTCACATATAGTACTAAAATATGATTCACTAAGATGAAATCAACATAATGTTTCGAGTGCGAAGTCATAACTGTGGTTACATATACATGACTATGGTTAAGTTTGAATCGGGATTTCCGAAAACACAAATGTCGAGTTCCTTCCAAGCTTTTATTGGAAAAAGTAGTGTAGAAAGTCAGAAAAAGCTTGTGTATGAAAGGTACGTCGATGTACACGTTAAGGTACATGGATACTTTGCGATGTTAGGAAATGTTTGATGAACGTCCGACAGCACATTTTTCACGTGAAGCCGATGTCCCCTGCAATAAATTATCGAAATTGTTTCATGCTATTTTCTCCCTTGCACTGGCAGTCCATCTGTACGCTTAAACCATTTAACTGGTCTTTTGGCTCGTGCACAAAGGCAATTTGCTCGCGCGCGCTTCCCGGCTTGTGAACAACTAACCAATCAGAATGCTGGCTTGTGCATGAATCGCATGAGTCGCATGAGTCGCATGAATCTCAGAGCATATCGGTGAAAACGCCGAATGCGCATATTTTGCACGAACTTGGGGAGCGATATACTTCGGCACCCATTATCGGCACAATGCTCTCAGCCGCAAACCCCTTTCAAATGGAGTAAAACTTTCCACGCCGAAATGTTGCATTTTGTTGCTTATGTGATCAAACCAAAAAACGTTGCCATTTGCAGCTCACAAAACTTCGTCGTTCACTGAAGCAATCTTCCTTCTGGCTGAAAAGTACTGTGAGATAAATTTCCAGTACCGCTAAGACCACAGGATGCCTAAATGGGGCATGAAAAGTTTAGACTGGTACTCTCAGCTCTATTGAATGATTGCTGTAATCCATCCGGGACACGTCATAACTTTCCAAAATTCGATTCCATTGTGCGAACACTGAGTAACCAACTTTGTCGGCTTTTTTCACAAAATTTCAAAGCCCATTGCAACCGGACGGTGCTGACGCTTGCAGCCCCAATTCAGCAGAGACATATACACTGGTCAACTGGCTGCACTTCATAGTACTCAGCATCATCACCTACCTCACAGCATGCTTCATGGTAAAATGAAACCGAGATATGTGCAAAA